ATCTCTCTCTCTCTCTCTCTCTCTCTCTCTCTCTCTCTCTGTGTGTGTGTGTGTGTGTTTGTGTGTGTCAGAGCACAAACACAGACATCAGAAGACAACTTAAGCAATCAGTTTTCTCCTTCAACCAGATGCATTCCAGAGAATGAACTATGGTTGTAGGTTTAGCTTTTGCTTTTTCATGGTATCCCAGATTCTCTGGATGTCTTGTGTCAAGAATTTTTTTAGATTTAACGTTTTCTTTTGTCTGGCATTTCCATTTCTTCTATCTTATCTCCACTGCCTGAGAGTCTGTCTTCCATCTTTTGTATTCTGTTGCTGATACTTTCCACTGTAGCTCCTGTTCAAATTCCTGTTTCTCTTTTTCAGAATTCCTGTCATTTATGTTTTCCTTACTGATTCTATTTCCATTTTTATGTCTTGAACAGCATTATTCATTTTCAACTGTTTGCTTGTGGGTTGTGCCTTTTGTTTTTTGTTTGTCGATGTTACTTTTATTTCTTTAAGGGATTTATTCATTTATTCATTTCCTCCAGTAGTGTGTTTTCCTGGCATTCTTTAAGGGATTTACTTATTCATTTCCTCTCACTTTGTGTTTTCCTAGATTCATAAGGGACTTACTAACTTCCTCTTTAAGAATCTCTATTGTATTCATGTTGTTAGTTTTAAGGTCCTTTTCCTGTGTTTCAGCTTTGTTGAATATTCAAGGCCTGATGTGGCAGGATAGCTGGGATCTAATGGAGACATATCACCTTGGGTGTGATTGATAGTGTTTTTAAGCTGGTGTCTAGATGTCTAGGTTTGGGATGATTATAGGTCAAGGTGATTTCTGAATTTGTCTTAGTTGGGTATGTATTTAGTTTCTTGGTTTCTGTTTCCTCTCTGTATCTTCAGCGTATGATCTCATGTATTGCCTGTTTTGGGGGCCTGCTCAGGTGTTATATGCAGAGAATAGCTGCTGGAGTTGGAGCTTGGAGAACTGGGTGAGTTTGGAGAAGGAAGGTTGAAGGAGTAGGTATTGTGACTCCTTGGGGATAGGATCAGAAAGAAAAGGGAGAGCAAAGCATGTAGCCTACTAGAGAGCTGGAGATGAAACTCAGGTTCGGATCTCAGGAGTAGTAGGAGACCTATGGGTCTGCCTTCAGCCTACTTGTTGCTCTGAGATGAGAAGCCCTTGTGTTATCATGGCATGCCTGTTGGATTAGGGTCTAGGACAAAGCAATTGATTTGGGAAGGAAGAATGGAAGGAGAACTGTGGGATCCATGGAAGGAGGAAAGATGCAAGTGTTTTCTGCTCTAGAGCCAGGGGATTGGAACTGGAGAAACAGAAAGAGAAGAGAAGGTCTTCAGGCAGACTCATTATGCCAGATTCTTAATAATATTTTTCTCTGTAGGATAGATGTGAGAACAGCACCAGGAGGATGCTCAATTTTCCAGTTGCTCATTTTTTAAAACAGGAATGTCATTAGTTATTAATAACATAGAACATATTAAAGTTACATTAAAAATGAATGTTTCGTGGTGATCATTTTATCAGGTGTTCCAAAATTCCCAAAAGAAAAAATTGAACCCATTGATGTAGAAGAAGGGGATTCCATTGTCTTACCCTGCAACCCTCCCAAAGGCCTCCCACCTTTGCACATCTATTGGATGAATATTGGTAAGTAGTGTTCTGTTCCATCAATCAAGCTCACTTTAATTCCATGAACTATGTATATGACACAATGAAACCAATGAAAGCAATCATTCATATATGATTGATTATCCTGTAGAATCAAATAGACTTCAAAATTAGATACATTTGCAATTCTACTCTTACTCCTAAGTCTAAACTGGAGTGTATATGTGAAGACAGTGGAAGATCATCATGTCTCTTAATTTTCAGTATTTGAACAGGAGGGGAGTAGTCATATGATACAACATGCCTGCAAAAAACTTGCCTTCTGCAGTCTTTACCTTTGGAACACAGGTTAGGTCAGAGTTCAAGTAATTGGGTTGTATTGTTGGTTTAGTATTATTGTTTTAGCTTAATTCATTCTGCTAAAAACACTGACCTACACAATGTTCAGTGTCAGCCTTTGTGTTTGCTTTTCTTGCTTTAATAATTCCTAAAATGAAACTTCTTGAAAAGCCTGTTCCATCACCTGTTTCCTCGCTGCCCTCTGGGTATTTTCTCATTGCATTGCATAAGAAAATCATATTTGTGGTGCATCTAGAGGAGTGTGGGTGGAGCTGTTCTTGGCTGCAGCCAAAATCCAAAGCTGTCACTCATTCTAGAATTACATAGCTGCACCCAGAGCAGGGCGATCAATGGTGCAGGCATCACTTTTGCAGAGCTCCGTTTCAGAGAAAGATCATCCATAGAAAATAAGAGAGAGTAATTAATAGCTGAACTGAACAGTTTTTAGAAAAGCCAAAGCAAAGCAAGAGATCAGTTCGTAAGGAGAGATGAAATACCAGACTGGCTGGCAATCTATCTGTGAGATATTCAGCCTCCCAAGGATTTCTTTGTTGTTGTTGTTGTTGTTCTTGTTGCTACGGCTATTTTGCAGCATCATGAAGAGGAAGCACCCATTTCAGTGACAAGTTGTGTTTTCCCCCCTTGCAGAATTAGAACACATTGAACAAGATCAAAGAGTGTACATGAGCCAAAAAGGAGATCTGTACTTTGCAAATGTGGAAGAAAAAGACAGTCGGAATGATTACTGCTGCTTCGCTGCATTTCCAAAATTAAGAACGATTGTACAAAAAATGCCAATGAAACTAACTGTGAACAGTTGTAAGTCCAAATAATTTATTCTTCCTTCAATCATGCTGAATGCAAATCTGTGTATAATTTCATTCTTCTCTCCGAAGCCATTTTAAAGATGGTTGGTATTTTCCGTCATTGTTTTGTTTAACTCTAGAGACTTCATACAGATGATGCAGACATCTGCAGCTACAGATCCGCAGTAGCTCTGTCTCTGGCAGCCAGAAAATCAAATCTCAATTCACAGTACAAATGTGTTTCATTTCATGTCTGCAGGATCTACTCATTTTCTGTGAACATAAAGCACATCTTGGGCATGGGCTCACCGTGACCTTGGATAAATCAGCAGGCTAAAAATGAAGGAGACAAAAATTGAGTCAAAAGAAAATCACCATTTATATTCTTTTTTTTTAATCACATCAGGGTTTTCTTTGTCCTTCCCAAATTGGCAAAGTTATCTGAATTGATTTTCTGTTTCCTACTTGATGCTGTCTGGTTCCCAAAAGGGAAGGAGTAATTAGTAAGAGATGAAGTGGTAAGATTCAAAGGCAAAGGATAATCCTAGCAGCTCCCAGGCTGAGTAATTGACCCTGGTAGAGCAGAAGGTTGGTATGATCATTTCGTTGTCTAATTTGTTCCATTATTTTGTGTGCAAATGATGTTTGTTGTCAATTTTATGAACTTTCAGTAACCTGAAATCTTTGTAATAGAGTAGTAATCACTTGTATCTTCACAACTTTTTGAGTCTTGTTTATATTGTATTCCCATAGACAGTACTCAAACGGGCATGGTTATACTTCATCTTTTAATTTTTCCATAAATAAATACATGAGTTTTCTTACTTTATTGTTGTCAACGTCTACCATTATGTTTGTATTAGTTTCTTCCATCTTTTTTATTTCAGTAAAGCATGCTAATGATTCAAGTTCATCCACAGAAATTAGTTCCCAGGGTAAGTTGGCAATATGCAGAATTTGGGCATATAGTTTTACCATTAGTCATTCATGGTCATCGCATTTTATAATTATTAAAGTATTTCTTAGAAAGAATGCCAGTAATACTGTCAAGTAACACGTTAGCATAGAAGGTTTTATGATCCACAATCTTTTAGAGTTTATGAAAAGGGATATGTATATATGTATGTGTATGTTTGTGTGGATGTGATCTTTAAGCATAATATACAATTATATCGTATTAAAACATATATAAAATTAGCATATATAATTAACTTATAAATATATATATGTAGTTTTACACATAGCTGTAAGTGAAGGTATATACTGGTATATTACTTGGATTTTTCCTAATAGCTCACACAGCACAGAAGATTGATAACTTTACATAAGGAAAGAGAAAATAAATGGCTAATATCAAGAAAAATAGAGAAACTCTGGTTTTTACTTGCAAGACTTGTCAGAACATTTTATGACCCACTAAACAATCTCACTAAGAAGGAATGTAGTTTTTAGTCTATTTATTTTTTGTCTATGGAACCCTTTAAATTTTATTCATTTTTTTCTATAAAGCATCGATCAGAATTTGCATTTTATCTATAATCCTTGAGTTATAACCTTAGTTGCATAGTAGACTTGTTTGTTTTCTATATGCAAACCACACTCAGATGAAATAAGTACTCCTTACATTATGTGGACTAAGGGCCTCATGTAGATTTCTAATATACTGGTGATCTCATCAGAAGTGAATAAAGCACTCCAATTGGGGACATCTCATGTATGCTGCCTCATTCCCAACATCATTTTCTGTAAGATTATTAATCTACATATATGTCTTCAAGTACTTAAAAACCCATAGCATATAGTACATATTCAAAAATCATTTCCAATATATAAATTCATGCAAGAAAATGGAAAGCAGAATGCACATGGCTTCCTGTATTCTACACTCCTTTCTTCTGATAATAGAAAGCCAGCTATTTATTTTCTTTCATAAAATGATAAAGTCACATTGGCACTAGTTATGAGAAACAATTTATGTTCACATTTGGAAATAAAATCAAAGTACACTATGAATGAAGTGTCCTAATTTCCCATCATATTTTGAAATTACTAATAGAAGAATAAATTAAACATTCAAATCTATACTTTCCAATCTTAGACGTATTGTGAATCATTTTCTAAAACATTAGGTATACTTAAAGATCTGATTAGAAGAAATTTACTGAAGAGCTAAATAAATTTATGGTTGCCTGATATCTACTATAAGTTTGTCAGTCTGAATTTTCAATAAAGTACTGGAGGAAAAAAGCTGTCTTTTTAGAAGGAATCCTATCTAATACTTTGATCAATAAATTAAATAGACTTATAATTATCAACAATGTTAAGGTATGGTGAAACAAAAGAATACAAAGTCAGACTACCAGTTAACTTGAGGATATCTTCACAAAATCTTCTCAAGTAAGGCTTCGAGTTCTCAAAACGCACAGGCATTATACATCATGACATTTAAAAAAAAACACTGGTAAAGAAACTGAGAGATACATGCTTCCTTGAATGAGAGAAGTCTATTTAAGAAGCACACCAAAATATATACATGAAAGGATGTGAAGTCATGCTTTTAGAATGACCTGGTACCATAGAGTTTTTACAACCTTTATTGGAGAGGGCATTGACTCTTGTTTTTTTTTCTTTTCCAGCAAATTCCATCAAGCAAAGGAAACCCAAACTTCTGCTGCCTCCTGCTCAAATTGGAAGTTCATCCAAACGGACTGTACTCATAGGGGATACCCTGTTGCTCGAGTGTTTTGCGGAGGGCCTGTGAGTACCCTGGCCTTTGCCCAACCCTTATCCCATCTGGTGCACTAAAAACTGAGAAGTCAAGACTTTGCTGAGTGCATGCTTTTAAGTTACTTTTTTTTTGTTTTTTAAAAGATTATAAACATCATTTGTGTTTCACTGGAGAAACACATTTCTGCTGTCTTATACAGAATTAAGGTTACAATTGAAATTGACTTATAGGTTCTTGTCTTCATTGTGGCATCAGGAGTTCAGGGACCAAGGCAAACCTTAGTGAAGTGGGTGATCTCCTGCTGTCCTTAGAGCATGCACATTAGTAGCCACTCATCTACTATAAGCTGTGCTTTTCTTCTCAGTTTTAGGGTGCTAGCTCCACTGCTATAGTACTATAGGAGGTTATGGCCTATACCCCAAGGAAGGTCCAGCCAACTATTCTCAAGAAAGCCATCTAAAATAGTCTAATTTAAAACAGAAAACAGGAAAACATTATTCAACGTGCTCATATTGAGCAGAGGGATAAAACGATTTGGAGACCACTTGCAGGTCCAACTTCTTACTGTGGAGTGTTATTAAAGTTTAAGTAGAGGTCCAAGGATATCCACAGTGCAGAAATCCCAGCAAGGTGTGGTCCCATATACCTTCTTTACCTCATCAATCATTGCTTGGACTTCAGTCTCATCTAGTAAAGTGGTATGACTAGTTGTTAGAACTGTGTGGAATCTCTTTCCAGGGAACACAAGTTTCCCCTCTGGCTAACCTCTTTTCTTTCTCCCAGCATAAGATTTCTGAAAAAAAAAACAAAAACTCACAGTTGGTTGGGCTCCATTATTTCAGTGGTCTGTTAGCCTTATTAGAATCTGTTAGTTTACACTACCCTCCTTTTAATTTCCAAAGGTCTCTATTGTGTGGAACCACCAAGCTCCCGAATAAAGACATGGAGACTTATATTTATTTTGAATGCCTAGACTTTTACAGCTTGGTTTGCTATCAATAGCTCTTAACTTATTAAGAGCTCTTAACCTATTTATTCTATGTTCGTTTACTTGTTTCTTAGCTAACTTTCCCTATCCGCTGCCTGCTTCTTCTGTCGTCTCCTTGGCAAATCCCCTGCCCGCAACTCCCCATCTCACTTTTCCCAGAGTTCCTATCTCCTCTCAGAAGTACCTTCTACTTTCTGCCTTTGCGATTAGCCATCATATTTTTATTTTACCAATCAGAAAAGGAGATAGGGAGTATTTACAAAACACTAAGACAGGTGATGCTTAACAATACCAAAGTTCGGCTTGTAATCAAATCTCTGCTGGTTCAGAAATCAGCATTAATATAATACAGAAACAATCTTTACACGGTAAATAAAAACTTCACCCCAACGTTCTATTTTTTTTTTATATAAAATGAAATAATTGTGTAAAAGAATGTCCAGATGATGAGAGTTAGGGGAAGCACACATCAAAAGCTGGTCCACTGACACCGCCTCACATCTCCAACAGCAGAGTCCTGCTTCAGTTCTCCTACCAAAACCCTAAGGGTTGACATTTTGTCATCTTTGAAAATTCTTGCCTTCATTGTGTGAAATCTCTTTCATATAACTGGGGCCATGGTCATACAAGTTCACTGTTTCTACAAGTATTCCTGCTGACGTGATAGTCTCCCATCAGTGATGCTGTAGAGAAAGGTATTCCATCTTCCATTTGATGCATTTCAGATGCGGATATTTTGTAAGCAATGGAAGTTTTTAAAAATGAGATAGAATTTGAAATGCATTAAGTGATAATTAAGAAGAAAAATAAAAAATACAAAATCCATTTTTGTTCATAATTCAGTTAAAAGTTTGAATGACTTCTTTTAAATTAGATTGTGAAGAAAAGGAAGGATTTTAATTATTATACAACTTCCATACTTTGCCCATTTCTTTTTTCAGCCAGTTTGCTTATCAGCCTTAAATCACCAATGTTCAGTAATAAATTATTTCAATATGTTGTCACATGGCCTCTATGGAGAAAGTTTGGTCCCTGTGTGCTTTTTTTAAGATTTATTTTTATTTTATGTACACAAGTATTTTGACTGCGGTTTATGCCTGTGTACTTCCTGTATATGGTGTTCACAAAGGCAAGAAGAAGCAATAGAATTTTAGAGTGTTGGGAGCCACTATGTGGATGTTGAGAATTAGCCAAGGTCATCTGCCAGAAGAGCAAGTGCCCTTAGCTGATGAGCCTTCTCTCTAGCCCTGGTCTGTCTTTTTATCTGAGAAGGCCAAAGCATTGCCATCTGCTGTAACTCATGGGTAACCACCCAGTGTCAGCATGGGTTTGTAGTGGTGGACATTAAATTCTTTCAGGCTTCCTCACTGTTCAGCTTAACTCTTCGAGTCAGTCAAACCTTTTAGAGACTTTCCCCATCATTTCCTTCCAACACTGGCATTTACTTCTGGAGGTGACTGGCATCTGTTCAGACTGTCCTTCACTGACAAAGATACCCCAACTTGTCTTGTAGAGACTAAAATATTGGGGAAGGCACACTGGAAAAAGAAAATGAATGTCAGCAAAGAGTTGTTCTTTGCAACACAAAGATTCCTGATACTCCGTTAGAAGAGATTCCCCCCACACACACACAACACACAACATAATTGGTTTGAGTTGGGCTATTCGTTCTGTCTGGTCGTCCTTTGAATCTTCATATATATATATATATATATATATATGATGTAGAGTAATGAAGTAAAAAATCACTAATCATAGTAGTAGTATTCTGTCACGTACATCATTAACTCAGTTCCCTCCTGACATTCCCTGGGTGTAAGTATTCCCACTTGCAGGTTAGACAAATGAAGCCCACAGAGCTCACTCAAAAGCACAAGTGCTTTTCCAAGCTGAATGGAACCTGAAGTCCATTCATCCCAATCTGTCCCTTAACCTTAAACACCTCTAAGTGTAATTCACATCAATGTTATATTAGCCAAAGGAACCCTTTCAGTTTAAACAGGGAAAACAGTAAGGAGTTTGTTTATATCTGCTCTGAGGTGGTTACATGAATCATATATCTAAGTGAATAATGATAATAGAAACTTTTGGGTTGTTAGTTAAGAATGCTTTCTGTGCAAGCGAGAGGTCTTCAGTTTGAGTTCTCAGCACTCACCTAAAAAGTCAGACAGGATGCAAGCCTGTAACCCTGGAAGTGGATCGGGGTGTGGTGGGGTGAGGAGATGAGTAGCAAGTGAGGAAGCAGAACACAAGACATAGATGTCCTCCTCGGATCTGTGCTTTTATGCGCATATACACACATTAGCACACACAACCCCTATACACTCAGACACACATACACAGAGAGAGAGACAGAAACACAGAGAGATAGAGACAGAAAGAGAGACAGAGATAGACAGAGAAAGGGAGAGAGAGAAGGAGAGAAGGAGAGAGAGAGGGGAGAGAGAGAGAGAGAGAGAGAGAGAGAGAGAGAGAGAGAGAGAGAGAGAGAGAGAGACTTATGCTGATACTATTAATTAAGTCAAGGAAGCTTGCAGAGGCATATTCATATTGGAAACCTTTGAGCTCGTACATTCCCTGGAAATGGCGAAGAGTTAAGTGATGTATTGATTCTCATTAAGAGAGAAATGTTTTCACATCCCTGCCATCTTATTGACAGTGAGAACGTGCTGTTTTAATAATTCACACGCACACTGTGTGAAATGAAAGCAGACCCATCATGAATTTATGGATATATGCTTTCTATGCATCCTACCTTTTTCACCAAGAATCATAAGAAAAGTTACCTGCCTAAGAACTGAACAAATATTTGAAGTTATGAAAACAAAGATCATTAAACAACTCATTTTCTCCTCAACCCATGATTGTTAAGTGCTCCGTAAAAATAAAGCAACGAAGCAAACAAAACAGAACTGTCCCCAATATAAGAGTTATATTAACCTAGCTGAATAAACCGTCTCTACTTGTGATGTTGCATTAATCTGATTTAAATAATTTACTTGTTTATAAGAAATGAAGAGTGTTAGACGAATGATGTCTTTCAAAAACAGAAGTAGAAGAGGAAATTCAGGAAAGTGGGATGCTTGCACTGCTGAAACACAGATTCACTAAAATCTGTGTGGGAGGAGCTGAGGCTCAGGGCAGTCTGTCACTTGGCAAATTGCCATTTTGACAGATGGTCTAAAAAGCAAGCAGGTAGGAGAATTGGATTCCAACGACTGCATGGTGTCATGCTCTTTAAAGTTCAATGGCTAATCAATATACTTCCTTAGGTGTCTGTCTGTCTGCCGTGACCATTTCTGAAGGATTTCTGCCATGTACACTGTCCTTGGTCAAAAAGCAGGTTCTTGTTACAAATCTTTGAGGTTAATCCCTTTGGCCTTGAGAGAAAATAGCAAATATTTGTAAAGAAAACTTTATAATTACCTCCAGTATAATTGTTTCCCAAAAATTGAGCTATTTTATTCATTTTCAGTGTGAACAAGTAATTTGAAATAATGGAGGTAAACAATTTGAGACATTAATTTAATTATTGAAGCTGGGCCGATCAGGTAGTTGAGTGGTTAAGATCACTTGTAGATGTCCTGATTTGATTCCTAGCACCCACACAATGGTTCACTGCTATTTAGAACTTCAGTTCTAGGGGATCCAAGGCCTTCTTCTGGTCCCATTGTCATCAGACACACATGAGGTGCATATACATACATGCAGACAAAACACTCATAGTTATAAAATAATAATAAATTTGAAAAAAATATATCGTTTACTTGGTGCCCAACGGAAAGTTTGACCCCAAGCATAAGACTAAACAGTTAGGAAAGATGGACTCTTATGAAATGCAGAAATCAAATAGAACCCACTAAGAAAACAATTTAAATTTGAATCTGATAAGTCTTGTTTACTTAGCTTTCTGGAGTATCAGATTTGATAGTGATAAAATTATAACAGTAATCCAAGTCACCCTTAGAGCATTCTCGGAGTCATGAATAAAACCCCAAAATATAGGAAATACCAGAATTATGTTCTTCACAATATTGTAGGCAGAGAAATATCAAGTTGCCCCCCCTCTTATAGTTGTTTATGAGCAACAGTATGAAGTCACAGTAGTCATAGGATGTCAATTTTCCACCCTCATTTGTATGAGAAGGGAGTTTTCCTCACACGTTGGCCCTAGATTCTGTTTTCCTTCATTTTAAGGCATGTGACAAAGTTATCCCTTTCTTTTGTTTTGCTTTTGTTTGTTTTGATCTCGTGAACCTGTTTCCCTAATGCTCCGGAATTAGGAAGATTCCAGGTTCTTGTCTCCTTGCTGCTCTTCCCCTCAGAGCAAGAAAGCAAGGTCTGTGCTGGGCACTCCAAGCTGCCCTAGAATGAAAGAGCTGCTCCTCTATCCAGCCCATGCACTTGGCTTCACTCCTCAGCCTCTTTAGCCAAAATTGGCTTCATTAGGATTCAAGGGGAAATTGTTGCCTGCCACTGCTGGCTACTGTGCCATGTTGTTGAAAGTCACACAGGGAAAGGAGCTGTTGATCTCTGACCACGGGGAGATTTTCACACTTGACAAATACCGTGTAATATTATTTCTCTGGACGTCAGTTATCCATTTTGTATACAACTTTGTTGATTCAGCCTTCACGTGGAGTCAGCCTACTTCATGAAAAAGACAAGATTCTTAGGGAGTAGACCATTGAAAGAGCTTATGATGAAACATGCTTGTTGAAACTTGATGCTTAAACATGTGTGTCCACTGGTAAGGCTGATAAAACTTTGCGCATATATAAACTCAGCATGATAATAGGTGTGCCATGAGAGATTATTTATAATCGATATTTATTTATCTATGCATTCATTATATTTCTTACAGACCAACTCCACAGATCATGTGGAGCAAACTGGGTGGTGAATTACCAGAGGGAAGAGCAACAGTTGAACCTCATAAAAAGACATTGAAGATAGAAAACATCTCCTACCATGACAGAGGAAATTATCGCTGTAGAGCCAACAATTCGTTGGGGATAGACAGTCATGATTTTCAGATCATAGTAGAAGGTATGTATGCCTCCCATTAGGATTTAAATTTCTACTTCTGAGAGAAAAATAAGTGCATACCATCACAGACCTTTGCTTCAGCAATGTGCATGTCAAAGCTGATCATTAGTTTGGAGATTTAGTTGTAGTGTAGGCACTGAGTAACAATATACTTAATTAATTAGTCTTATCATTTATCTTCCAAAACCATATGGAAGGCATAAATGTCAAGAAGAGAGCTCATGTAAGGCACTTAACATACACCACTTCCACAGTCATTAAACCTAGCCTCCTGTAAGGTTTTATTGCATTAAATGATTTTTACTATAATGCATACATGATGCTCATAAATAAGGTCATGTTCATGAAATCAAACGTTATTGCAAGGATCCTGGAAGGAGGTTGGGAGTGCTTGCTAATCTTGTCACTCAACTTCTGCAGAGTCAGATGAATTGTCTTACATTATTCCACATTATAGCCTTTTTTGTTCTATACCCTAGTATTCAATATATCACTTAGAGTGGAATATGAAGAGATCATATGGTACAAATACTAATATTTTTTTTATCAAATAGTACCAAAACATATTACTTTTATCTTCTGCCCATAAAAACTGAACTCTTTTGATCAACTGAGATTTTCTGCCATTTTTTTTTGTAACAAAGAAATGTGGTGATGATGACATTACTCTCATGAGTAGTGTCACAGTTAATAGATATCCAGGCTGTGGCTACAGTGCTGGAGTTGAGGTTGCTTGATTTTGCTGTAAATTTGATTGACACAGACTCCTTTCTGAGGATCCAGTCACAACTTTCTAGGCTTTCTCTTTAGGGTTGAAGTAACTGTGTCAATATGATGGATGCAGTTGTCATTATCTTGGACCTCTGTACTTAGGCTATGTTGGCTTACCTATGGAGGAGGATCATGTCTCCCAAGCTGTCAGTTCATGAACTAGAGCTGTATGGTCTCCATAACATTCTGATAAATACTTAAAAGTTCTCTTCCAAAGCTTCAGTTTGTGCAAGAAGCATGTCCGTGGTGGCCCTTTGTTTTAATTAGTGGGAAAAAAAAGAGTCCCAGATACAAATTTCACTTACAAGTTAAATTTTCCAATAATTGACTGCATCAAGTCTCTGGACCAACACAATTTCTCAACCTTTTCTATACTAGTTTCTTAGTTAAGGAGAGAATAAGAAAATTTAAAAGGAGGAATTTGTTTTGTTTGGATCAACAAACAAATCTTTATAGAACAGAATGCAATGTTAGATATTAACATCAAGGTCTATCAATAATAATATATTCTTCTGACAATGTTATTCAAACAGACATGTAGAGAAGAAGTTTGAAAGATGTGACTATAATTTTAGACATTGTTTGACACTTGTCTATAATTTGGCTACATTTTTTGATAGGGATATTTCCCTACCCTCTGGTGCCTCTCAAGTACACACGCACATGCACACACACACACACACATACACACACACACACACTCGAACCAGACATACATAATTATTAGCTGCTTCTACTCTGAGTTGCTGACTGTTAGAAAATCCTTCCAGATGGCTGCTGTGTTGCTACGGTAGCTGAATATTTTAACAATCTGGCCTCGGTTTTCTTGACTATTAAGACCAAAGCTTTCAAAAAGAACTGCAAGTGTTGCAAAAAAAATATTATACCAGTAAAATTAATTATGCAACTTAAAACATTGGCGGTAGGATTCCAAAGGGATATAGGTTTCTTGAACAAATTGTCTCCACGATTTGCAAAATAGTTATTAGTGGATCTGAGATGTAAATATTATTTTTATTAAGAATATTGAATCATTCCACTTTTGTGAGAAAATAGTAAACATACACTCAGAAGCATGTTTCAGCTTCTCCTCACACCTGCGTGGGAACAGTTGAGCATAATCAAGATACAATTTTCTCCCTAAATGGTGAAAGCAGTAGCTATAAAAATCACTAATTATCAGGAGATGGGAGGTTGTCTTTATTACATTTTCTTTGTCTCCTTGTATTTTCCTCTTCATTTTCATTATTTTATTTAGAAACCCAAATTAAATCAGGACTGTCATGTGGCAGGAAAGCAGTTCTCTCATGTATTTTGATCTTGTCCATTGTGAAAACATCATATGTGCACAAGCATAGTTTGTACCCTATCCTGTCTGTCATTTTTCTTCTCTATTTTGAAATTCAAGTTCCATCAACTTGTACGTTAAGCTAAAATAGCCTAAATATGTAATCAGATTGCAACTCGAATAATATATTTTCTATGAAAATAACAGCTGATATCATCGTTAGATGTTACTGTAGTTTCTGGGCACCTATACTATGGATTATTATATATACAGTAGCAACCAAGGACCAGTGAAATGGCTCAGTGGTAAAAGGGGTTTTCAGCAAACCTGAATTATATATTTAGAATCTACATTAAAATAAAAGGAGAGAACTGACTCTCTAAAATTGTCTGCCACAAGTGGACCATGGTATGGGTACACTCAGATAATGATAATGACGATAATAATAATAACAACAATAATAACAATACATAAGAATGCCACATAAAACATAAGTCCAGTCATCAGTCTATCAGTAACACTTAAAGTGATAAGAAACAGATGAAAAAACCCACCAATTTTTATGTTGCCCATTTTGAAATCATTTTAGGCTGTTCAATTTCAGAAATATAACCTGAATCATTTTTGCACATCTGTTCAATCCTTAATATTATCCTTAATAATAATCCTTAATAATATTAGAGTACCCTGCAGTATCTAAATGCCACATGCTGAAACTCAGTCCAATCCCTGATAGCATGAATACCTTATTTTGAATTAATGAACTTATTCCCAAGAAGTTGGTAGAATGCTAACCTAATGTGCACAAGGTCCTTGGTTCAATCCGCAGCACCACATAAACTGAGTCTGATGGTGCACTCTTGAGTTTCAAGCACTTGGTTGGTAGAAGCAGGAGGATCAACAGTTCATGATCATCATAAGCTACACAGGAAGCAGAAGCCTGCCTGATGTACATGAGATGTTCCATAAAAATAAAGAATATAAATATTAAGTAGACCTCTGTGATAAAAAAGTTTGCTAAAAATGTTCACTGTGTTACATGTCTCAGACACCAAATTTGCTGTTCTATTTGGGTTTTAGTACCATAATAAACATTTTTAGGTTGTTTATAATATTTGCAGGATTTATGCTTTGACATCTCCATTTTGGACGTTATATATTTAACCTATCATCTTGCATTTTGTTTCTTATTGTGAGTAATTGGGTGAGGTTTTAGAGGACACACATTTTGTCAGCTACCACGTATCTCAGGCATGTGGAGAAGAGTGAGGCCCCATAGCTCCTTCCCCTACATTTTCAGGGTTACTCATCTTTTCTTTATCTTCTCTAACCCCTTTACTAGAAATTACCCATCTCATACTTGTGTGATGTGAGCATTGGGAAACTTCTGCTGATACTCTGGCCCTGCATCTCAGCCACCCAGAGTTTCACATCGAGCTCATGTTCTCGGGCTTATGACAATGTCTTCGTGAACCAAGTAGCAGCCAAATAAATACTATGTTCATTAAATCAACGTCATGGGAGACCGAATGACCAGACAGTGAGGATTATTTCCCATCCAAGATGCCTTAGGTTTTATTTTTTCTTATGTCTATTCCATGGAAGTCTTTAGGTATTTATTAGGCCCATCCTATACATCTATTTGGAGACATTTGGAGCCAGGAAGAAACAAGACAGCAAGCTTCAACCCTATCACCCTAGAGATCACGGTTCTAAGGACTCTGTGCTGATTTCGAGATTGAACTACTAAAGAGTCAACTAGCGAAGTCAAGAGTGAGAGTCTCAGCCAGAACTGCATTTAATAGTCATAGCCAGGTTTTAAGTCTCCATCAAGTTTCATGACAATGTCTACATCTGTTCAGAACCGGAAGCTTAAGGGAGGAAAAGGACAGAAACATCTACCTGAATGTGGAAGTGCTTTTAAAACTTATGAAGACGGGCCAAGCTAATGTTTAGGAATAACTGCTACAAACTACCAAATGCTTGAAACTTCTGGTGTCAGTTGATAGATATGGGGGAGGGGAGGAGGAAATGCAGAGACTGAACTGGACAGCTGAACTGACCTTGATTCCTAGTTACCCAGCACAAGATGCCAGTTCATGAGGACTTCCTCCATAGCTTTGCATGTCTCTATTGTTTCTCCAGAGGCTCTGTTCTGAGATCCATGGAGTGCCAAGAACAGGAAATGAGGATTCTTTCTCTGATGACCCTGAAAAAGATTAGATGAATTCTCTAAAGCACAGTATTATTTCCATAAGGTCAAAGGCTAGATGAAGCAAAACCTCAACCCTTCATTTGTTTCTCACAATAATCTCTCTTTAATATATGTGCGCAAAGATATATTAATATCAAAGGTTAATGAAATTTGCAGACTGAAGATAGGAATTGGAAAATTGATTTTTATAATGCAGGGGAAATGAAATAATATTTTCGTTATAGGATCTTTAGTCCTACATGCTTGGAAGGGAACAATCCTAGTTTCTACTCTAATCATTATGATTCACGTATTCATGGGGCTTTCCCCCTGTAACTTGAACATGTTGAATTTGTTGTGGTGGTTGCATTAAAAAAAACCTGAGGAAAAATTTAAAAGAGAAGAGCATAGAGAAATGTCTCAGTGGTTAGGAGCATATTATGCTCTTCCAGAGGACCTATGTTTGGTTTCCAACACACATGTTGAACAGGTACCCAACAATATACCTATGCCTGACACGTAAAAAAAATAAACCTTTTAAAATACAATGTCATGTAGGCAGTCTTCCTCTTTAAAATGTAATTCAGTTTCCAATTTAGACCATCGTACTTTATGCTAAGGGATTCAGTATTTTTAGAGCAATCTATTATAAACACAGATGCTTAACATGAAAATTAACAATTGATCCCACACCTCGTTGGGAAATTCTAAAGGTATGTATCTTGCACACACACAGACTTGCCAGAATTACTTGTCTGTATGTTTTCTTTTACCATTTAATAAATTTATTTTTTCCCATGTAATCCTCTTTCTCTCTTTTACTAAAACCATTTAAAAAATATTTTCATTTTATACAGGTACACATCTTTTAAAAGTTTCTTTTTTAAATCAACACAGAAATTCACAGTTCTTGGTGGGGGGAGGAAATGAGCAAGCAAAAGTTGATGAGAATTACTACTTTAAAATTTTATTAAGCCACATCTGAGATTAGTTATCAACTATGCGAATGGGTCTGGAGAAATGGCTCAGTAGTTGGAGAGAGAGCACTGGCTGCTATTTTACAGGGCCTTGGTTTAGTTCACAGCATCTACATGGTAGCTCATAGCTCTCTGTAACCCCAAACAAAAGATCTGATGCCTTCTTCTGTTCTCTCCGGTCACAAGGTATCCAAGAAAGTGGTATATAGCTATACATGCTGGCAACCAACAACAACAATAATAGTATTCATGCTCGCTTCTAGTCTTGTAGTCACTGTTGTCATAGTGCTACCCTGATGGTAACCAGATGTGACAGTAATGTTTGCAATGAAAACACTTGTCTTGCTCTGTTCTGAGATTCGATTTAGAGCTACACTTTTGAAGTTTTATGCATCAAAAGATGAATATCATTTGTTCCTGGTTTTTCTGCTTTGTTTCCAAAGATAAAAGTCAAATGTTCTCAGGTTCCCTTTCTGCCCCTTTGCAAGCAAACATCTCTTGCAAAGGATGTTTTTGAAGTTGATAAGTTATGTAAATTGCTATACATATGATATGTAAATGTTAGAGTCAATAATCAAGAAACAGGGTCTTACAAATTTTACTGTTATTTAAAAAGGTCTCTCAATCTATTTCCTGCATATCCACATTTTCAGTTACTACCCTGCAGCTTGAGTAGAAACAGTAGCCAGCCCTAAATGAATTACCATCTGCTGAGCCCTCTCTAATGTTTCAGTAAGACAAATGTATACAGCTAAGGCGGCTGTATATTTTTAGTATGCTGATTTATATACATGTTCAGAGTGTAATGTAAGTACGCAGAGAGAGAGAGAAAGAGAGAGAGAGAGAGAGGGAGGGAGGGAGGGAGGGAGGGAGAGAGAGAGAGAGAGAGAGAGAGAGAGAGAGAGAGAGAGAGAGAGAGAGAGAGAGAAATTCACCCATGTTGCTTTCGTGGAACCGAACCAAAGGAGCTGCTATGGAATTCTTTGTAGTGTCTGCCCTCTGCTGGTGTTTGGTAGAAATGCAGACCTGTTACAGTGGTTAGATCTGCTATACAGAAGAGTTCTGGAAATGTCTTTGTTTTGTCTTCAGAGCCTCCAAACTGGAAAAAGAAACCTCAGAGTGCCGTGTACAGCACGGGAAGCAATGGCATCTTGTTGTGTGAAGCAGAAGGAGACCCTGAACCCACCATCAAATGGAGAGTCAATGGCTTACCAATTGAAAGTGAGTTAAAAACAACCTAACAAAAGACCTGAGAGTGGCATGGTAGGGAATACAGCTATTGAATAGGATAGTATACGATCAGACAATTTGGTGATCCATGAAGTAAATGAGATGGGCCGTGATTAACGTAATACATTGTCAGAAGATCATCGCATTTCCTTATGGGCAATTTGATTGAAGACAAGCAACACAGTGGAAGAGCCATGAATAGTGTGTATGTATGTGTGTGTGTGTGTGTGTCTGTGTGTATGTGTGTGTGTATACTAATTTAATAATATATATATGTATTATGTTACATGTACATATTTATATAATAAAATAAGTCATGACCTGATGACTGAATTAAGACTATGGGTAATATAAACTAACCCTTGCTCCTGCCCCTGAAAATGAATGATAGAGTAACCCAATAGATGGAAGCATAAGCTGGAAGTTGGTATTTCTTGTGTCCATCTAACATCCTCGATCCTTATCTCTGCTCCTGCCCAGACTATCTGTTGGTCACACTTTCCCTTCATGTTGTGGCCAGGACACATGTGATACCCAAAACTATACATGACACAATAGCTCCCTGGTTGCTGTTGACAACACTAGAAAATCCCCTTGAGTCTTGTCCACGTTGGTTGTACACGGAAAAACAAAAATGGACCAGGCCAGTTTCTTCACTGCACCAGTCCCTAAACCCCAGAGCTTTTCATTTGAACCTAGAGCTGAGGGTATTCTGAAGATTTTGTTTCGGGCAGGAGGACAGAACCTATGTAATGTGTTATGTTCTGCTTAAGTAGCTCTGTGGAGAAAAAAAAACTATTAATTGCAGGTGTGGGGTACCTATTGAATTTTTTTTGTCCTGGTTCCCCATATTAGCCATGTTTCCTTGTGGTTCACAAACCGAAGGCATCCCTGGGCTGGAACTCTTCCCAGTTCTGTGGCCTCGAGCTGGTCACTGGAACATCTTAGCTTCAGTTTTCCAAGCAACAAAATGGAAGCAGTGATAGTCGGTAATGTTTGAAGGAGTATGATTAGTCTGCTACCTAACATCATAATTTATCTGTAGAGTTCTTTGATGGTTTATGAACTCTGGAGCCGTGCTGCCTATGTTTGCATGGCCATCCTAACATTTGCTAGCTGTGCGACTGAGGATGTAACAGAGCCTCTTAAAACCTGCTTTTTCATAAGCAAAACAAAGATGAAAATAGCTGTGACTTGTGGGTTTGTTATGTGACCTAAGAAAAACACCATTCTGAGAATGCTTTGCCCAGGATCTGGTATGAAGCAGCAATCACGGGAGATGGATACAGGAGGGTGAGATGTTCAAGCCCTGCTATTTGGATCACTGACCTGATACTGAAGTGCCTTAAGGATGGGCCCTTGTGAACCCTTATGAACTTTCCAGATTAGGGAAGCTCTCTGGCTTTGTCAGAGAAGATTCTGTTTGCAGTGGACAGTGGTTAATATAGAGCCCTAACTGGACAAGGTGGGGAGAGTAACTGACAATGCGTCCTCAACCCTAAATGGGACATCTATATCCTTTATGTAAGTTCAGGGAATATTACAGAGGAGAGAGCTGAGGCAACATTCAGAGCAGGGGGATGAGAGGAATGCTATGAACGGCTGTCCTTTGAACAGAAAGTAGCCGTTGCACCCGTGAACTCACAGCATGTATTTTAACTGCTTAAGAGCTGTCCATCAAAACTCCAGCATTGGTGGGTGTGGGAGATTTATGAGGCACCACCCCTAGCTGAGGAGTTCTAGGTATGTGATGGATGCTGCAGGAGAGATGATATGTTTCTTTTGGTATATGGCAGGTGGCAGGCTGCCATGCTTCAGTGGATCAGCCCTATCCAGGTACATACAGATATCACTAATTGGATGCAGTAAGTTATAAAATGTCAAAAGAAGGCATATAGTTGGAAATGGTCATGTTGTGGGAAATTTGTACGTAGGAAGTAGGCAGATACCAAGGACCTTTATAGTTGGAGATGCAAGGTAGATTTACAGTTTAAAAAGTACATACTTTGAGAGATGAAAACCGTTAGGAAGTCGGCTGCCATCAGCTCTCTGGAAGTGCTTTTGGAGTGGAGAGAAGAGTACGTGAAAAGACTCCCCAGATGTTTGTATCTGGAGGAAAAAAAAGAAAACAGATCTGGTTGGCTGACGCTCAGGGCATGAGGAAGGGGTATGAGGAAGGGCCACAGGAAGGACCTGAGTCAGCTGGTGATATCATTTAGTAGATGACAGCATCAGAGCACAGACAATGACAAGGCCTGATTAGGGTCTTGGAATTTTAATGATTACAAACAGGCAATCATATAGGGTTTTGATAGAAGAGTTTGAGTGAGAAATGCTATGGTTCGTTTATGAAGTATTGGAATTTGAAACACAGTTCCTCCCACATGCCTGGTAAGCGTTTTAAGCGTTCCTCCCACATGCCTGGTAAGGTATAGCCCCAATCCTTTTAATTTATGTGTTAAAAGAAGTTTTTGGTCCTTGAATGCAGCCTTTAACTCTATAACTACAAAAAGGTGACTGAAAAGCAACAAGTCCTTGTACTAGACATGTTGTCATAGTGGGCAGGTAGTGGATATTTAAAGTGGAGCCAATAGATTTATTGGTGGATGATACAGGAAGAGCTGTATCCGACAGTAACCTAGGAAGGACTGAAGCCAGTCAGGCTGGTGGAGAACAAGCCTTGCAGTTTGCACAGCTTCTGAGCACAGCGTGTTTTTCTGTTACTTGCCATGGGCCACTGTGTGATGATGGTTTGGCTAACAGAGAATTTAAAATCCCATTGGACATATATTTTTAGAAAATCATATTCTTTATGACTCTTACTTCAAAATTCAATAAAACTGAATACAGAGGTTGATTATCCATATAACCTTCTCTGAGATGGCATGTAGTATTTCTGCGAGTGCCTTGGAAAAACAGATCTCTTTACTCTTCACTTTGCAGAGGCAATAACGAAGCTCACTGGAATTATAGCACAAGTAAATTCGGATCTAGAATGGAGCATAGAAAAAAGAGCAAATTTGAGTAGAAGGTTCTCAGACCATATTGTCTTATCTTCATTGAACTTAAGAAAGAGAAACATCTAGGAAGAATTATGGGGTTATGTCAGGATTAGTGTATTTTGATAGATAACTATTAAATATTACGTTTTCTTGAGACTTTAGAACAATTCCTGTCAGGATCCTAGCTCCAGACTTGGTACTCTCTGAAAAGCATCAGTGGGGCAAGACTTAGTCAGGAGAGAGAGTAGAATTACTTTCTCTAATAATTTATTCCTATCTTGACTTTAAGTTACTCTGAGGCCAGAACGTTCAGGCCTCTAGATCTATTGACACTTGCTGCTAACAGCAGGTGATTAGATAAAGAATTTACTGCTAGTGCTGCCTCCTCTGGCCAGACAGCCAGAAGTCCATCACTGGCCTGGCTGCTTAACTCTTTATGAACCAAAGAGAAAGGAAAGGAAAAACTAATATGCTTTTTACAGGCAAATATGCACCAGTCCATATACATTCATACATACATTTAGATTTATATTAACATCCTCATTCAAACATGAACACATTCACAACACATTTTGTTGGGCCAATCCACCTGTCTCATACACTCTACAAGTATTCATACATGCCTACATACCTACACATATGCCTCCAGGTTTGTACAGACAAACAGACCTAGTCATTTGGATGCATGCATGCATGCATGAATGGATAAATGGATGGATGGATGGATGGATGGATGGATGGATGGATGGATAGATGGATGGATGAATGGATGGATAGATGGAAGGATGGATGGATGGATGGATGGATGGATGGATGGATGGATGGATGAGTAGATGGATGGATAGACTGAAGGATGGATGGATGGATGGATGGATGGATGGATGGATGGATGGATAGTTGGAGCGGAGCTTCTCCAGCCAAACCATTCAACTAACAACTTTACTCCTTTTCTTTGGCCTTTATATATTTTCTTAGGAAAAAGAAAATTCTTTAAAAAAATTACCTCAGAGATAAACTGTTACATAAAATGAGAGTCACAGAGGATGTTGATAACAAGTTCAAAGCAGTGTTTCATTGTAATATGCTCATTATAAGTTCAAAGCAATATCTTTTATATAGCCTTGCATACCTGTGGCTTTATTATTGGACATGAATGTTTTTCCTTGAACACAAATTTGTCCCAAGTATATTTCTCTTTTTAGCGTGATTATGAAAGCTCACTCTATGTCTTATAATGCAGCCTTTATTTACTATTATGAGGATTAGGCACATTCTATTCTTGATTCTAACTTTGTTACATCTTTCTGGCAAAACAACTAAGACCATCTCTCAAAACATTCTTCCTAAAATTATTTCTATCAAATCAGGAATTCTATGGAACCATTAATTCATCCAAACAGTATTAATTCATGAAAATTCATCTTTATGTGGACCTGCAGAAAATCTGATTAGTAAGGTGGGCTAAAGCCCAGTCATTGTTATATTAATTTTATAATGACAGGAAAGACATATCAGCTGCAAGAAGTAATCCTGAGATGAAGTTTCTTTGGAACCTTGCCATTGATCTCACCCATCCCAAACCATGCAAAAACAGTGGGTCACCTCCAAGAAGGCCACCTGCTAGCCTTAGCTTATCATAAATGGCTCCTGACAAATTCTCTTTTGACAGTGTATAGTATATTGATCAATTTCCATACCCTTTCCCAGAACAAGAGCTGAGTATGGTCTAGTTGTTTTTCATCTGCACAGGATGATTCGGTCTTAATTCTTTTTTTGCCGTGCTATGTTGATTTGAAGCCCCTCTTGTGGCCTGTGATGCAAGGCAGCACACAGGGGTGATAAGGCTAGCTCTGCCACCCTTAAGGTCTGAGTAACAGTATAGGGATAAAGGATGAGATCAGTAACTCAATCACTCCCAGTGTCCTTTATGATCAGTCATAAAGAACTTAGAATGCCTATGTATCATGTTAATTCTAAAGAGGTAGCTGATAAATTATCCCCAAAGCTGTGTTAGCTTTTTGATGTTACTATAAAAAAGTTACCAAAAATTCAGTGGCTTAAGCCTGTACAATTTTCCTGTGGTATAGTTCTGTAAGTTAGAAGGTCAGTACAGTGATCACTGTGAGGAAATCAAAATCTCTCTCTCTCCCTTTCCCTCTCCCCTTTTGCCCCTTTCCTTTATTTCTGTCTCCATTGCCTTTAAATTTATTACAGGCTGCCCATGTTCTTTGCCTGTAGCTCTCTTTCTCGATCTTTATGGATGATATCATGTAACCATGGCCATTTCCCCACTGCCATGCATTCTGTTTTTATAGCTAGATAAGAGTGTCTGATCTTCATGAAACAATGTAGTTACATGGAGCCAACTTAGAAAACAGCATACCTTCTCTATCTCAAAGTCCCCAGGCTTATCTACATCTGGGTGACTTTTTTTCTAGGTGGGGCACACAGGCAACGTTTTGTGAGTGACAGTCGGGACCTATTTTTCTGCCAACTGACAGGGAACATTGGTGAATAAAATATCCTCCTTTGTCCTTATTTCAGATGTTTCCACAAATATTTAGCCACTGTTTGGAGATGCCTGCTCTTTAGAATTTGAAACACTGTACATCTATACTAACACTAAACATATTATACATCTTCACAGACATCACAGTAGACCCGAGGAATGCACACATTATGGTTCTAGTGAGAAAAAAAATGTATAAAATGATCTCCTAATATGTAGTAGTTCCAGTTTTCCTAAACAAAAAGTTTAATGTAGCTGCTATTTTATATGACAGAAATACAAGGAAAAAGAAATTATTTATTGATGTAGTCTAAACTAAAGTTTTTTGAGTTGTAGTCCTTCCTCTCAACAGTTCTAGCTCCAAATTATTTTCCTTCCTACTGCCTTTCTTTTGTGGCATAGCAAATGTTTGGGATTGAGAGCCAGATGCTGTTGGATATTCATTTTTCTCTGAAAATGATGTTTACAAAGCCGTATAAATGCTGATGTAACAGGTCATGAGCAAAGACAGTGTTATAATGCATGGTCCATATTCTGTGGAATTATTTGGCTCTTAATAAATGTACTAAAATTTTAGATACACCAATTTCCAAAAGATAGTTTCAGGATCAATAGTAATGTATTTAAAATGTAATTACATGATTTCCCTCTATTTTTTGTTGACCCCTCCCTCCTAAATTCAGAGATGCTTTAGCCATTATCATTCTTTAATCATTAGTGTTTCACACACATGTGTGTGCACACACACACACTAAACATATAAGATGTTGCATCTGTTCTGTGTTCCCTGGGTGAAATGTTTCTAGGATTGATCTCTAGTCACAAACAGATTGAAAATGAAAACAATCTAAATGTAGTTCATCTGATAAATAGATGATATCAGAGTGGTGCATGTGTGCAGTGGAATAGTATTCATCTGTAAATAAAAAATGAAATATGAAATTTGTGGGTGGATGGTGTAAGTAAAACATTTAATACTTAGTGAAGCAACCCAGACCAAGAAAGACAGACTTCATTCATCTCTCATCTGTTGTCCCTAGCTCCAAATCTTCCAGCATGAGTAAAAATCCACAGGAGTGACCAGAGACCAGGGAGGAAAAGGGAGAGCATTATAGAGAGGAAGAAAGTAGGCTAGATTTCATTGTTAAAATGTTGCACACTTGACAATTACTCTGATTTTTTTTAAAAAAAAAGAGGAGAAAGGAAGAAAGGAAGGATTAAGTCTTGTGAATTACATACTAAAAATGGTCAAATGATAAAGTAAAGCACACAAAGTAATAGCATAGATCCAAAAATAGTAGAAAGGTGGAAGAGTGAACCAAGAAAAACATTGCCCAGAGAGAAATCAGGGCCAGTTAGGGTCATTGTTTTGCTCTGCACTGGTTAACATCTAGGTGCAGATGATGAAGTGTAAATCAGGTCACAGTAGGACTCACAGGTTAAACAGATCACCTTCAATCTTATTATGATCAGGGATACAGATAGGCAGTAGGTCAAGATGGGTTTTCATAACATTTATTTGAAAATATCATTTGAAAAGGTGTGGCAAATGCAAAAGGGTCTGAAAAGTCACTTGTGTAAATTTGTGTGACGATGACACCAGTGAACTATTGTTCACCCTAAATTGGTCTTAAAATATAGATACTGTGTGACACATTTAATAAATGGTTCATAAATATTTTATACTCTACTCTTTATCATACTGACATTCTCTCTTCTCTTTCAGATCATCCATTTCCTGGTGACGTTATGTTCCCCAGAGAAATCAGTTTTACAAACTTACAGCCAAATCATACTGCTGTATATCAGTGCGAAGCCTCAAATATTCATGGAACTATTCTGGCCAATGCCAATATTGACGTTGTTGGTGAGCATACCCGAGTCATGGCTTCGGCTGTTTTCTGAAGGAAAATCCTCAAAGTTATAGTAACAAGCACCTGCTTTTTTGTGGGGTGGTAGTGTCAGATCCAGTGTGGGAGTGCATGTGTTTGTGTTCATGTGGAGGCCAGAGGACAACTTCAGTTATCATTCCTCTGGTACTATCTGCTGTGTTTTATAAAAAAGAAGAGGCAGGATGTGTTTGATGGAGAGCAGTAAGGTGCAGTGGGAGGGTTGCCTGGGCAAGCCCATGCAGAGGAACGTGGGGAGGGAAGTTAGGAAGGGAGTAGAGACAGAAAGACAGACAGGAGAGGGAGCAGAGCTGGAGAGGGAGAAGGAAGAGAGGAGAGGGAAGAGAGAAGAGGGAGAAGGAGAGAGAGAGAGGGAGAAGGAGAGGGGAAGGGAGGGGAGGGGAGGGGAGAGGGAGGGAGGGGAGGGGAAGAAAGGTGTCCAGGAACACCTGAAGAGAGAATGGGTAGGGAGAGAAAGCAGGGTCAGAGAGCAAGAAGGGGCCAAATAGGCCCTTTTATAGTAAGCCAGGCCTATCTGACTGATGCCAGATAACTTTTAGGCGGAGCCTAGAAGGAGTGCTAACACTATCTTATTTTTGAGACAGTGTCGGTCACAGGTCTGAAACTTATCAAATATCTTTCGATTGTCGCCAGTGAGCCTCAGGGATCCATGTGTTTCTTAATCCCCATAGGCAAGATTACAAACGTGTGCCTTAAAGAAACGAACAAACAAACAAAAAACATAGGTTTTGGGGAATAAACTGATTCATGTATATCAAGTTCTTTCAAGTTCTTCACTGACTGAGCTATCTCTCCAGTACAAAGTATCAATTGAATTTTGGACACAAAACCATGGAGGAGAAAATCAGTGTCATTCATTTTATTTTTAGTCAGGGTCTCATACTGAAATTATTTTTTTAGAATGTGCTGATTTGGTATAATATTGAAATTCAGGAATATGTACAAAAATGTTCAACAGTCTTCCATGCTTATGAGTATGCCAAGGACATAAAAAGTGACCTCAGTACCTAATGCTTGCAGAAAGGTTTAAAATTCATTTTTTACTATTTTTGACTAGATGTTGTCCCACTGATAAAAACTAAGAATGAAGAAAATTATGCAACAGTGGTTGGGTACAGTGCTTTCTTACACTGCGAGTACTTTGCTTCACCCAAGGCCACAGTAGTCTGGTAAGATGCTTACTGTTTTCTTAAGGGAATGGGTGTGACGGATTCTTGAGCCATCATTTGCAAGCCTGAACTGCATCTGTGTTGCTACAGAGAGCCAATGCCTCTGAGAAGTAAGGAAAGAAATTTAACTACTCATCTCTCCTAAAAACCCTGGCCAGAAGTCTAGGATTTATTTTTTCACACGAGCCATTTGTGTTCATAAAGAAAACAACGAATTAAAATTATTCCTAAGGCAATTTTAAGATTGCTTTGTTTTGTCTATGATGGGTCTGTCTATGGGTTGCTGTGGCCTCTGTTTGTCTTAACCTGCACTCAATTACAGACATGCTTAAGACTTAAGACATTCATTTTGACCTTAAAAATGCTCGTGTTGTTTAAACATATGACCATAATCATTTACTGTGTTAGTTGCTTTACTGATAAAGTTTGGTTAGTTTACTGTGAAATCAATGCTCTGTTGCTTTATAGGGCCTGGATTAGGATGGAAATAGTGAGGTCAGGCTGTAGAAATTCAAAGTTACAATTTTGTCAATTAAATTGTGATGTCTTGTCCATTAGTGTTTGACTTTTAACTTTTGATAATAGTTGATTAAAATATTGTTTATCTTGATTTCTGAAGTGCTTTCCCAATTTATGTCTGAGGCAAGTCCCATACCATTCTCAGCTTCGTCCCTGCTTTGGGAAAACCCTGGGCCAGCAGCCCATTTGTCCTCTGAACCTGAGAGCACAGGCCATCACTTACTGTGAAATGTACAGGGTTAAATCAAGCTGTGACAGGAAATGTGTGGAGAATGGATGAATGTGAGAGAAAATGAGCCTGGAGTTGATAGTGTAAGTGTAATGCATGTCCACAGGAGAGGCAAGACTTCCCGGCTTATAATATTTCTGAATGACCAATGTCCCCCTAGGACAGCAGGAGGTTGGGAAGGTTCATTATCTGTTTCAATTACTAGCTTTCCCGTTTGCTAGCCCAGAGCAATCATTAACGAAAGAGTTCACTATAAATAAGCCAGAAAGTATTTATTAAGCTCGGAGGACACATGTAAAGTGGTACTAGGAGTTACGAGACAGACAGAGGCAACAGTACAAGGAGGAAATTGGGTTTCCTTTAGCTATAGTCTGTTGGCCAGTTGTGATATACATCCTAGACAATTCTAAGAGAGAAATCAGTCTCCATAGGAACACCTCAGAAGGTATATCAAGTAACCAAAGAATGTATAATACTGGGTGATATCAATGAACAATATCTGAAGCACACAAGCATTGTGTTCTTATCAAAAATGACTCATATCTCCATCTCCACAGGGAAGTGGCTGATGAAACACATCCCCTCGAAGGTGGTCGGTACCATACCCACGAAAATGGCACACTGGAGATCTACAGAACTACTGAGGAGGATGCGGGGTCATACTCCTGTTGGGTAGAAAATACAATGGGAAAAGCCGTCATCACAGCAAACTTGGATATTAGAAGTACTGTTTTTATCCTTCTGCTTTCATGAATTCTTATAGGGGCCAGTTGCTTCTTGTGTCCTCAGATGAAAGAGTGTCATTTACGTTTGAGCACTTGTTGAAATTTCTTTGATTATTTCTCAAAAGCCCTCCCTTGCATTTCATCTCAAAGACTACGGCTAGTATGGCAGGGTGTGATGTTGGATTTGGGCCACCTTAGCAGATGGCTGTGTATCCTTAGTGGTAGGTGACAGTGTCTTAAGAAATATCTGTCTTAGTATATTTTTTTTCATTCTGTGTTTTATTCCAGTAGAAAATCATAGAAATTCAATCTCAGAAAAATAATAAGCAGCTTGACAGCTTGGGCAGGCTGTTTTGTTCTCCTTAAACCAGAAACACTGTTGTCAAGCAGACATTCCTCGTCAATGAAGGCCTGGGAAGCTGCAGATAGGCTCAGCCTTCACCAAGACTCTTATCTTGATAGTCATTAGTGTTTGAGTTTCACAGTTTTGATAGTAGCAATTGCTTTTACCCTAAATCATTGTGCTCCCTGACTCATTCACCAAAAAACTCCACAAGTAAATATGAAATGTTTATAGTGCCGTCCCTCGTAAGCTCTGGAAACACTTCTGACTAAGGAAGCAGATGCAGGATCCTCTTTTGCTGGGCTTACTGTCCAATTCCCTGTTTATGTGGATAGTACAACTGTGCCAGAACTTCACTATTTTAGCTCAAATTTCTAAATTAATAAGAATATAAAATCGACTAACTTGCTCATTTTCCTTATAACATGGTTATATGTGTGGACACTACAAAGTGAGAAATTATATTATTTTCAAATTCTAGACACATGTGTTAGCTAATACTTTAGCTATTTACGTTAGCAAACAAGAGCAAGAAAATTTCCTAACTTATTAATCAGTGCATGCACTTAAATTTTCTCAGGTTTAATAGTAGAATATAGCTGTAGGATACATCACATGTGGATGTGACAGATTATAACAATTTTGTTTGCTTGGGATGTGGACATTTAATAATAATAAGCTGTGCTCTGTAGTTCTAATACTATTTTTTTAACTGAAAAAACATACAGATGCTACAAAGCTCAGAGTTTCTCCTAAGAATCCTCGAATCCCCAAATCACATGTGCTTGAAATCTACTGTGAAAGCCAGTGTGACTCACATTTGAAACACAGTTTGAGGTTGTCCTGGAGTAAAGACGGAGAAGCTTTTGCAATGAATGGCACAGAAGATGGCAGGTAATTACACTGCTATGAAAAGACATTTTGTGTGTGTGTGTGTGTGTGTGTGTGTGTGTGTGTAACAGCACTCATTAGAAAAATAGTCTTAAAATTATTCACGCTGTATTAAAGTAAGAAAATAATAATTCAGTTGTTTCATTTTTCGTGTCAGGGTTAAGGGCTTAAAATACTAGTTTTGTTTTTTATTGTTTCCTTGTTTGTTTGGTTTTTTGCTTTGTTTTGTTTTGTTTTATGCTTTTCTTCCTGCTTTTACTCCTTAATTTTTATAAAGCATGGTTTCTTTCCTCAGTGCAGGAAATAGATTCTGATTAACTGCATAGGTTAAAAGCTTTCTGAAACATTGGGATGACTGGAAGAGCAAGCTGTCAAGAGTGGTGCTAACTGTTGTTTGGGGCTCTTACTCATGGGCATTAGTCTGTCATCCAAGTATCTGAAAAATACTGGGTACCCCTCAGAAAACCTGCTCCTATGATGCTATAGAAGAGGCCAACTTCTGGTACCCTATTGTCTATCAGAACCACGGTTCATACTTCTTCCTAAAAGTCAATGATCATTCCATTTTATTCCACCTGTCACACAAATCCTTCTTGCCCATAAATACTCAGTTATAACTGGCAGTCATTATGTTTATATAAATTATTGCCAACATTAGCTGGCCTATCTGTAGGAATACCTTGCTGAATACTATGAAGATACCAAAATCTGTGTGGTAAATTATGTTCTATAAGAGACCGCTCTGTTTAAATTGCATGCTTTTGTTTATGATACAAGTTGCATTTGCATTATTTTTAATACTCAATACAGGGTGAATATTCATAAAATAGCCATTATGTACTGTGACTCAGAGAATAGTGACAAGAAAAAAATGTACAGTTCAAAAATTTAAAAGTTTAAAGATACTGTTCATCCATAATTGGTTGAATCTGTGAATGTAAAACTCCTATATGGAAAGGCTGAGGATACATGTCCGAGTATTCTGAATGAGAGTAGTTCATAAGATAGAAGAAAGCTTGAGTGAGGGTTGAGAATCACTGGAGTTTAAATGCATCAAAGAGAGAGAGGGATCAATAGAATCTAACAGAATCAAAAGAGTCAGAAATCCTGCTTGTTCTTTTAAATGGCACGAAGGTCAGTTCTGCTTCCTCTTGTATTGTCTTTCAGTGAGAGATAGGAAATTATCATTTTGAAGTCATATCTCATCTGAAGTTACATAGTAACTCTGAAGGTCTAGAAATAGCACAAGCCCTCCTTAGATGATAGTGCAGCAGAGTCTTGGTTAAAAGAATGGACTCCAACTCAGTGATACTCATATCCCAAGACTGGTACTTAACGGACTGGGACCGTCGCACAGTCTGCTTGATGCCTTTCAACCACCATTTTTTACAACGTGACTTGATGAGAAGGAATTAAAGTTCGAGCCTAAGATTATTATGGATTAAGATCTAATGGCCTTAGAAAGTCTAGGAAACAAATCATTGTTCACTATTCTTTTTGGAGCATTCAGTCACCATTTCTCGAGTTGGATCCTTTCATGAATGTTACTATGTTGGCCTTGTTGATAATATCTCTGGACATGCACATATGGTATTTCTCAAGGTAAAGGCAGTAGTCTCAGCCGTGGCCCCAAAGTTATTATAGTGTAATTCTTGCCCGTCAACAGCTATTAATACTGGATGACAACTTTTCATTATACAAATTTATGTAAGAAGAAGGGGCACTACCTCCAGTCAAAAGGCAGTCACATATGATTGAATTTTGTCTTCTATTCTTCAAAATTTTAAGTTTTTAATTTAGCATTAAAATTTTTAACTATGTAGTACTGCCACCCTTTACACACACACACACAGACACACACATACACACAAAGCATTAATAATATTTTTCAACTGAATAGCTATTATTGTGAATATATTTTAAATTTAATGGAACTTAATGTAAAAATTATGAGGATACATGTAGCTAGTATCTATATAAGTATAGATTTAAAAATAAAATTGATGAGGGAATTATTTTGCAAAGCAAACTATTGCAAACTGCCAAAAATACATACAACCGAGATTTAAATTGAAATAATTTGAAGAATGAAGTACAGGACTGCCACCTAGTGTTCAAAAACGCTAAATGCTTTAATTATTATATATCTTGGAAGCTAACTCTTAGAGGAAAGGGAAATATCAAAAAGGGTATTGTCAGATTTCATTATATAGTCTGGTTCTGTGGAATTGTCTAGGGTTCTAGAATCTTCTTTTCTCACAAGCATCCTCCTTTATTCTGTTCTCTGCTTACATCATATGAATTCCGTAAGCGCATCCTAGCTCCATTATCGGGGTGTGCTTCTTGGATATGGCAGCTAGCCCAGAGTTTCTTCACAGCCTATGGGTCACAGATGGTTGGATTTTGTAATTTTGGAAATTGTGATCCTATTTAATACTGTGTAGTCATGTGTGCACAATGTAAAACTTTATTCTCTATCTTCATCAGTGTCCTTCTCCAGTAACAGCTTCAGGGTACGAACTGGTTTCATCACTCTCTTGACTCGTTTTCTATGAAGGAGATTGCATCGTGTGTTGTTAATGGACTGTATTTCTTTCATTGCAGCTGTTCTTACCCTCATGATGGACTTTGTGTTTGCCTTCCCTCTCCCCCCAACAGAATAGTGATTGACGGAGGTAATCTGACCATATCTAACATCACAGAAGACGATCAGGGCATTTACTCCTGTTCTGCTCAAACTGCTCTTGATAGTACTTCGGAAAAAACTCAAGTAACTGTCCTTGGTAAGTGAAAACAAGTGAAAGAGATCTCTGCCTATGTGTCCTGTGAGCCTTAACTTCCCTTGTTTCTAGGTAATAAAGTCAATGATCCCTGAAGCCTCTGCTCATATAGTGAATTTTCATTTTTTAAATTTTTGTCATTGTTGTTTAAAGTGCAACATCACCTAAAAATTATTTCTACTCTTCTTGTATAAAAGAAATTAATTCATAATTTGAATTAATTATGAATTAATTTCTTTTCCCTTTATGGGAAGTTTGCCGATAGCAGCAGGAGAGAAGGGGTACTGACAGTGGAAAGATAACCAAAGGTCTCAATCCACCTGTTCCTAAAGTTGGGCTCTCTGGAAAACTGGGAATGCGATTGTTCAGTGGTGGGTGCTTGATGGTTTTGTTCTATACTGGAAACTTGTCTCAGCTCTATTTCCCCATGAAGTTTAGTGCAGACATCAAGTATTCTTTAAAAGAATATATTTGAAATTTTAAAAGCACTAATTGGAAAAGAGTATGCACACATCACAAGTCCCATCCGTGCAGTTAGCCCTGAGATCACCTGCATGTAGAGCATCAAACCGTCTGCTGGCTGTTTTCCGATTGTCTTTCTCCATTGAATCCCCACAAGCTCTTAGACCTGCAAGCCTGCCCTGTGAGGAAAGCATCAGAAAGCCATTTAAGCTGTAGCTTTCATTTGATGCTACAGATATAGCACCCTGATAACTGTGGAGCGTGTTCAGGCCCATTCTTGCACAGTATGTAGGCTTGCTGAATCCTATTGCCAATGTCACGGTTCCTCTAAGAAGGCTTTACTACACAATCTGTTCAGAAGGGATGCTCCTACCACTAATATTCCAAGTCAACCTCAAAACCCAGCTCTGGACACTTCCCACATGTATTTGAGGAGTTACTGCTAATACCTATTGACATTTCCTAATGTAATGACCTAAGTATTACCTGAGATGTCACCCACTATAGATATCTTAACAGTTCCCATCTATAGAAAAGGAGCAAACTGATGCTGGAGTCCTTCTTAGGAAACCAAAGCTACTAAGTTGAGTCCAACCAAGTACAGCCTACGTGGTAGACACTATAGATTTGGCTCATTGGATAAGATGTTTAGCTCTAGGTAAGTGAGCCTCATTCAGGACTCTGAAAGTGAAATTATTGAATCCTTTAGTAACTATTCCAGCAATATTTGCCAGATATAGAAGCAGAACATCAAAAAAAAAGAAGAAGAAGAAGAAGAAGAAGAGAAAGAAGCAGAACATCTAGTAAGCAAGGATGCATCTCAGGCAGCATGAATATGATGTATCCAGTCATATGAGCTTTACCCTTCAGTATTTTGTGTGATGGTAGCAATAAAAAATTGGCTTTCTGCTGGTTGGTACCCACGTTCTGTGTTTTCTTGCAAAATTTAAAATTCACCCTTATGAATTGTCCTTTATTTTCTACTACCATGACATTTTGGTAATTTAAACAGTGGCTATGATACCATTTATGTGCATAGTAACCTGCAAAAAAAAGTTTAGTAACCTGCAAAAAAATTTTAGTAATATTTAAAGAATTTTAGGTAAGATAGAATGGATTTTTAATAACTGATTCATTGGTTTCAAATTATAAGTTTTAGTTTTAATATCTAATTAAAACATCAATAATTGGCCATAAAATGATATTGGAACAGATAACATTTCTAAAATATTTTGTCCTAGATAAGTGTTTTTAAAACCCAGACATAAACAAACTTAGTCAGACGTTAATTACAGAAGAATAAAATTAACATAAAAATACTTTGAGACTGAGTTCATAAAAGCCTCTCTGTTCTGGTTCCATTTGATGATGTTCCAAGGAATCAGATTTTCACCTCAAATGAAGCATGGTGATTGGGATGGGATGGACACCCTCAGGGCGTACTGGATTCTTACTGAATCCTCAAGAGAACGTCAGCTCTCTGGGCTTGCCGTACGCCTTCTGTGGAGTGCGGGATTGAACTAGCTTTGTGCACACCTGGCAAGTAATGTGTTTCTGAAGCCCCACCTGCAGCCCACCTGCAGCCCACCTGCAGCCCCAGTGAAAAATTTTTCTTAAGTCCTTGATTTTTGAATACATACTTGCACTAGACTTTAAAAGTAAGAATTTGCCATTCTAAACTTTAAACAATGCTTTTGTCAATATAAACCTACAAGAATTTGGGAAACCTTAAAGGCCACCATGGATAATAACCATACTGTCTCCTCCAAGCTACAGTAAATGTCCTTGAATACTTAAGAATATTAGTGCAAATTTTGAAGGTAAAGGTTATTTGAAATAAGATTTTTTTTCCATGGATGGATGGAGACTACCAGGCAAAAATTCTATAAAACCTGTTAATATATGTAAACTATCAGGCCAAGATTCTATAAAAGCTGTTAATATATGTAAAACTGACTACTATTAATTATAGTAAAAATTAAAATAAATTGCAGAACAACCATGTAAAGCTTACTGTCCCTGTCTTGTTTACATATAACCATAGGATATAATTTTTATTGATTTCATGGGATAATTATTGGTATGATTGAAGTGACTATAATTTTTACTTTCTTATTTAGTTGTAAAACACTTATGAGCAAGGCACTAAGAACAATACAAAGATTAATAAGACATCCCTTCTCTTAAAAGTCCTTTAGTCCAAAAGAGTTGAAGAACCTAGCAGATAGATCAGGATGATCTGGAGGAAATTAGTGATCCCCTAGAGAGCCATCATATCTTCTAAATTTGATCATGCATAATTATCACATTGCCAATAATGTTGCAAGTACACATTCTAGACATCCTTACTTCAGTAAACTAGAAATAAGGAAAACAGGTGACATTTACTGTTAAGTATTATTCTTCAGACAATTCTAATGCCCTGTCAGCCTAACATGGTCTTTTGAGAACTGCTGTGGTCAGTAGGTATAGGTATGGAGAAGAGTGCATTTGAAATAGAAGCTCAACCAAAGATCATACATGGGCTGTTCCGGGGCCCCTAACACATATTATCAGAGGGCTGCCATGTCTGGCCTCCATCTGAGAAGATGTGCCTAATCCTGCAGAGACTTGATGCACCAGGGTCAATGGATACCGCCAGTGGGGGGGTACCCTCTCAGAGGGGAAGGAGAGGGGAGAGGGAGGAACTTTTTGAGAAAGGACCAGGAAAGGGGGCAACATTTGTGAAACAAACAAACAAACAAACAAACAAACAAACTAGAAGCTCAGGGTTGTAGGAATATGTATAATTCAGAGTGATCTCAGAAAGGAAGGGAACCTGCAAATGTTTCTCAACTTGGAAATCAGGGCAAGAAGGCAGCAATCTTCTCTTTACTGCTTTCTTTTGTTTCCACCCCAAGTATTAAGATCACGTTAATTTATAAAGAAGCCAAGTGGTAGCAGGTCATTCACAGCTGAGCTTAGACAAATTCTCAGGTAGTTTCTTGATAGATTATTTTATTGTTATTTTCATGTATCATTGACAAAAAGTCAATATTTCAAAGGCTCAGCTTCTCTTTGAATCCACACCCAAGAGAGACAAGCACTCTCACCAAATAGTAACACAGATAAGAGTGCTTTGAGAACTTTAAAAAAAAGCATGCCCATATAAAAAGTAATTCTTACCATCATTCTGGTGCATCCTCAGAGAGGAGGATTTATAGACACACTGGAACCTTTGAGTATTAAGTCATCTCAGGAAGCTGAACTTGGCTGTTGACAAAGGATCTGTAAAAGCCTCGAAAAAACATGATGCCTGTCACATGGAACCATCTCTGCTTTGACATCCCTATTGCTCCAGTAAGCTTCTTGCTGTCCTGTTATAGCTATCTTTTATTACTGATTAGGTGTTCCAGATCCTCCAGAAAATCTTCACTTGTCAGAAAGACAAAACAGGAGTGTCCGGCTGTCCTGGGAAGCGGGAGATGACCACAACAGCCAAATCAGCGGTAAGAGAGCTTGGGATGACCCTTATCTTTACCTAGGAGAGTCAAAATAGTAACAGGGTGATTTTGATTACACAATAGACAGTAGACTACGTAATAAATTAGATTTATGTATTATTATTATTTTATGTATGTGAGTTTATCTGCTTGTATGTCTGTGCAACCCATAAATGCAGTATCTGTACAGGTAAGAAGAGGACATTGGGTGTCCTGGAACTAGAGTTCAAGGTGGCTGTGAGCTGCTGTGTGAGTGCTAGAAACTGAACCCGGCTCTTCTGTAAGAGCAGCGAGTGCTGTTAACTGTTGAGCCATCTCTCCAGTCCCTGGATTAACCTTCTGAAAACACTCTTATGAACTGCATGTAATTGCTTATATATTTCTAAGTTTTTGTACAAATATATATATTGTTCCTTGATCATACTTCTCCTCACACTCCCCTACCCTCCTTCCTACTACCATCCTCTTGCTAGTATATATGTCCTGTTCAGTTTAATAGCATTAACTCAACTTTCATGTCTCATGTATGATCATGATTTTGTATTTATCTAAAATTCATCAATGAAAATGGACCAATAATTTTGTGTTCCTGAGATTGGCTTTAATTTAAGATGGTTTTCTCCAGTTTAACTCATTTTCCTGGAAATGACACTGCTCTTTTCTTCAACCTTGTTGTTTTGGTGTATGCAAATTCCTGTGTAATCAGATGTGGGTGTGTGTATGTGAACATGTACATGTGTGTGTCTATGTGTCTGTGTGTGTGTCTGTGTGTGAACGCGTATGCAGGTATATGTATGCCAGCAATCATTCTTGGGTGTCAGTCCTTAAGCACTGGCTATCTTTTGGGTTGCTAGGTTGTTTATTTCTGAGACAGGATGTTTCATGGCCCATAACTTGTCAAGTAGAGTAGGCTAGCTGCCTAGGAACCTTAGGGATTCTCTACTTTTTACCTTTCTTGTACTAGGATTACAAATGCACACTACCAACTTTTTTGTATAAGTTCTGGGAAATGAACCCAGGGATTCTAACTTTCAAAAAAAAAAAACTCTTCTGTAAGCTCCAATATAATTTTTCTTCCTTTTAAAATAAACTTTTAATATTGCAAAAAATCTTAATAAACCTTCAACAGATTCAATATGTCCTAACGGCTTGTTCATGTTCTTCCCTCAGAGTACATTGTAGAATTTGAAGGAAACAGAGAGGAACCTGGAAAGTGGGAGGAGCTAACTAGAGTCCAGGGAGAAGAAACAGACATTGTGTTATCTTTGGCTCCATATGTGAGATATCAGTTTAGGGTCACAGCTGTGAACGAAGTCGGACGAAGTTACCCCAGCCGGCCATCAGACTACCATGAAACTCCACCAGCAGGTATGGAAGCTCTAACATCAGGTTTCTAAGACAATATTTTATGTTGGCCAAATCATTGTTTTTAAATGCATTAAAAGCTATCAGGCATATAATATATGATTTTAGATTCCTCAAACTAGTTTGAAAAGATTTATGAACTAGCATTATACAATGTCAGAGGTGTATTGTTTTAGAGTTGTAAATTTATTTAATAGTGAAAAGGAGATTGGAATCGGTGCACGTTGTGTGAGAAAAAATAGTATTCTGCATAAGTTTCAGCAGCTAAATATCAATATCATATTTGAAGCCGAGTTCATCATGGAAATTCTAAATGGAAGTTCAGAAGATAGAAGAAACACCATTAGCTCATATAAAGATCATTTAAAAATGTGTAACTGTGTACTAGTGTTACTTTCTTAAGAATTGAAAATTGATGTATTTCCATACTTATCTAAATTATCAGGATAATTTTATGAATCCCCAACAGAGATAGTATAGAAACAATATATATGATAGAATTAGCATTGAGAAATACCATGGTCATAAAATGGTGTTTGATTTTTCCTGAGTAAAATAAGTATGCTGGGCTATAGTCAACATTTTTGATTAAAGAAGAAGCAAGATGAAGTAAAACTTCAATCTGGTACCTGCATGGTTTTAGTTTATACTGGATTCAGTGTTAAAATCCTTGTTAGGATGTTTCCAATAAAATGCATCTGCATGAATGTATTTCATGCATGCATTACATACTACTTTCAATTTGATATCTATAAAAGTTGCTTGTTGATATTGACACATAAAGTTCAGATTCATTCTTCTACAGACATATATACACAGCATATACTTCACTCAATAATTGTGGCAGAAAACTACAGTTTGAAAACAAAAATGTTTCTTAAAACAAGCTACAAATTTTAAGAAGCAGGCTTAAATTTAAGATAACTGCAGCAAATCATATACTTTCCACCTGCAGCAAATCATATACTTGTAAATCTTTAAGAATTCTATCTTAGGGCTGGAGAAATGGCTCAGCGATAAAGAGAAGTGACTGCTCTTCCAGAGGTCCTGAGTTCAACTCCCAGCAACCACATGGTGGCTCACAACCATCTACAATGGGATCTGATGCCCTATTTTGGTGTGTCTGAAGAGAGTGACAGTGTACTCACATACATAAAATAAATAAATAAATAAATAAATCTTAAAAAAAAAAAAAAATTCTATCTTACTCCTCTTAATAAAATTTATTCTGCAAAGCTATCTTAAAACTTCTTAGAAACTACTGAATTTAATAAATACTGTAAAATATTTAATTATTTAAATGTTTAATTAAAATTTAGTTGTTGGGTGTTATATGATATTCTGAAGTAAAAACTTAATAATTTTAACACTTATCATTTCTCAGCTCCAGACAAGAATCCACAGAACATCAGAGTTCAAGCGTCTCAACCCAAGGAAATGATTATAAAATGGGAGGTATGAATTCATTTGTTAGTTAATCTGTCTCTCTTTGGTATTTGTTTATCATTTTAAGTTGACTTGCTAACTCTAATGATGCAACAGTATTTTTTTAAGAATGATGAAATAAGATTGGGGAATCAAGCAAAATTTTTGGGTTATTGTCAGTGTTTTAGGACCACAGTGATTGGGTTTGCTGCAAATAGGGTTAGTGATTTAACTTACTGGTAGCTCACTCATAGAGTGCTTGCCTCAAATGAATGAGAGCATATATTCAACCCCAAGAACTAAATAACAAGCAAAAGGAATGAGTTTAAAATGGAGTATAATTCTAGAAATTGATTTAATGACAAATTGATCTACATAGAATCGGTTATGAGAAATTTCAAATTACTAGTATTTTTACCTCAAATATTTTAGATACTTTCACAATTAAAATATAGTAAAAACAAATCTTTCATCTTTAGTCACCGTATGTTAAAGATGACAACAGAAGACAAAGTCTTACAGATATTTACTTCTGACTCTGATGACAACCTCATCATTTCTCAACTTCAGACTTTAGACACTGGGAATTTTCCTTCCTCACACTATAGAAATGTATCACTAGCAAATGTCCCTAAATAAAAACACTCTTTGTATTTGTAAAAACAGTTTATGTCTTCCAAAATAACTTTCTCTATCCTCTTATTTTATTATATAATTCTCAAGTTTCTTCTGGAACCAGGAGTTACGTTTGAAATTAATCCACTGGGTCTGAGAACCCCATAGTTACTTATTCTATTTTGTTTAGTTACCCTTTTCTTAAATTTTCTTTTTCTATTGAAAGGAAAGAGAAATTTCTTTGAGAGATACACCTATCTGCCAGCATATGGATTTATATGAAGGATGCAGTTTGGAATTATTCTTGTTTAGTAAATTGGTAGTAATGGATTCTTCAGTAACAACCATGACCTCTCTAACAAGTGATTGGCTAGGTTCCAGTACCAATTATGATTTCTCTTCTACTGAAGAGACTCTAGGCCCCTCATGTAGAAAGATAACTACAGGCAACTAAGGAATGCTAAAAGTGAAAAAGTCTTCCCTGTGAAGGAAAACCCTAAATGTTATTTAATACCAAATGGTCAGTCCTGAAATCACATACATACAAGTAAAAGTAAATAGACTGAACAGGTTGTATGTATATATTTAGGTATGTAAGTGTGTGTGTGTGTGTGTGTGTGTGTGTGTGTGTGTGTGTATGTGTGTGTTTGTATGTAACAATACCAAGTAAAGAAAAAAAAGCTTCAATGTTAAGAGAAAACAAGGCAGGATTCTAAGAGAGACTGGAGAGAAGAAAAGGTAAATGGTGTCATTCTCTTAAAAATTTTTCATATTAAAGTGTGGATTTAGATCTTCTACAATGCTTTTTAAATACTTCTTGCTTGATAGTTTCTGCCCTTTGTTTTTAAGCATATTTATATGAATTTTAAAATTGATTCCAATAACATAACTAACTTGGAAGAAAACGGATGACTAACACCTAAACAACAAACAAATGAACCAATTCACCCAGACATCAAGGTAGGGAATTAGAAAGCTCTTCAATTACCATCCTAAATGGACATAGCCCAGGTAATCAACTCCTAAGTGCTCAAAGTTTAATAATCTGCACTGAAAATTTTCAAAAGAAAAAGAATCAGCCTATATTTAAAATGAAACTAAGTTGAATTAAATGTAAAAATGAGGAAACAGCAAGGTGAGGATTTTTAGAAATTTTCTGTGTTCTTAGAAATTGGTAGCAGGGTGAATTTTAACTATTCTCACTACTCAGATACATATGTATAATACAGTGCAAACTTACATGATTTTTACCTGTTTCATATTCTACAGTATAAACATATCTAAAGCAACATGTGGTCTACAATGAGTACATACAATTTCTATCATAAAATTAGTAAGTTCAAATAGTGTTTTAAAAACTATGGTAAAGTGTCAGTTTCTTCGATGTCTAAACTGATATGTATAAACTTGCCTCTTGTGTGGCTCCGTTTGTTACATGCATAGACTATTTTTTCCAGAATATTATATATAAGAAGTGTTGCTAACATCAGAATAGGTTTCTCAGGACCTTCATAGGACATCTGTGGATTCCTAGATAGCTAACTTAATGATGTCTTTCTGGAGACCTCTTCCTTGTGGACACTGCTAGAAGAGAAAGAGAAGGCCAGTGGCCCCTTCATCTGGTTCATCGTTCCTCTTTTAAGACTGTGGTTTTGTAATGTTCTTTGAGAATTATTGAAGTCTTTTGACTATTACCTCAAATCAAAATACAAAATTCCTTTAGGATCCCAGGAAACAAAGAGTTGGCCATATACAGCTTAAGTAATTTTTCTTAACACTGGCACGGTGTATATTAAATTTGTCAGAGAAAATTGTTTACTTTTTTTCTTGGAGCCAAACATAAGCAAATTGAATAGTACTATTTTTACATATTTATCGTCATTAAGGATTGAAAAATGTGATTCTTTTTGTAGTTTGGCACTAAAACCTTGTATTAATGACTAGAGAGTTGACTTGTTGAATAAGGGCATACACTGTTTTATAGACGACTGAGGTTTTTCCCAGGCCCCATAATGGGTGCATCATTATCTTCTGCAACCTCAGCTCCAGGAGACTCAATGCTTTCTTTGGAGTCCATTGGCACCTGTATTCACCTACACATACATACCTACACCCAGATACACCCCATGCACGGAATTAAAAGTAAAAACAGTTCTTTAAATAATGCTCATATTTTAATGATCTGAAAATGTTTAGGACTCTAGTTATTGTATGACTTTAGACCAATGCCTATATGACACTGAAATATTTTGAATAATACTTTGTAGCACATGCAAATATAAAAAGTAGCTCTGGGAAATATGAGTCATTTATTGTCTTGATGAACATTTTTAGTTAATGTAAGTAGTTACTTTGGAATAAATATAAAACTAAAATGATTTGTCGATAAAGCATGCTGCTTTCAATGTGATCCAACCAGTGCTTCTGATAAGTATTTTAGCTAGTTGTTCTGAATGAAGAAGCATAGTAAATGCTACAAGAGCATTTTATATGACATTTAATCACCCATGTACACAAGCAAAATTACTCTCAATATAAATCAACTTCCAAGCTTAGGATGAAAAATATATAATAAATGAATTTTTTACAAATCTGAATAATTTAAATGAAGTGCTCATATGTGAAATTAAATAGGTGCTTTAATCCACATTATTTTTCTTTTGTTTCCCATAATTAAATACTAAAATGGAAATAACTGATTTCTTAATTTAAAAAAATCAGAAACTCTTCTACAAAACCTTCCTAGACAACAAAATAAAGTAAGTAAAAAAGCCATTTTGGGTCAAGGAAATGTAGAAGTATTCATTAGAAAGAGAGGATTTACGGAGCTGGGTCTTCTCTTTAAAGGTGTACATTTTCCAGAATTAAATATAGCCCCATCTCTCTCTTTTCATGGGTGATGAGACAAAATCTGATGGAAGAAAATATTCTGCCTGAGGGGCGGGCCCTGATCCAAGAGTTCATTGCCACATAGTTTTTGTTTTTTGGTAGTAAAAATGTAGAGCATAGCAGAAGCTTAAGAAAACCCAAAAGACTATTTGCAATTTATTAGATATTTTGCATATGGACATTTATATTTTACCATAGGTGTATAATTCTAAAGTATTGACATTCCATGTCTTGCCATAGTGAAAGATTGCTATATAAAATTAAACTGATAAAATGACAAATCTGCTCCTGGCTCAAAGGAACCTAGTTAAGATCTCTATTTTTCCAATTATATTTTTTAAAGTAGTCACTGCTATCTATAGGTCAATATATCAATAATCAGTAAGTACATCTACTGAACTTTGATTTCTGTTTTAGCCATTGAAATCTATGGAGCAGAATGGGCCAGGACTGGAGTACAGAGTGAGCTGGAAGCCCCAGGGAGCCCCTGAAGAGTGGGAAGAAGAAATAGTTACAAACCACACACTACGTGTGATGACACCTACTGTCTATGCTCCTTATGATGTCCAGGTCCAAGCCATCAATCAACTAGGCTCTGGACCTGAGCCTCAGCCAGTAACACTCTATTCAGGGGAAGACTGTAAGTGATTCATCCTTAAATTCTTAGCACATCAAGAACATTATCAAGTTAATAATTTGTTTCAAAATTTCTGAGTATATACTACTTGCAAAGAGAATATATTACCTGTGATACAAAAAAAAATAAATACATACATACATACCTGACAGGGTTGATTTTGGTCATCATAGAATGCTAAAGAAGTACTTTGGCTGGAGATGTATCTTGATGATAGGGTGTTGGCACAACAAGGGCAAAGCTCTGTATTGAAGCAGCAGCATGACAAAATGCTAGATGCAATGGCAAATGCCTATAAATCCAGTACTTAGATGATAGAGGTTGGAAGATCAGAAGGTTAAGGCCATCCTTGGCTACATGACAAATTTGAGTCCTGGGACACATGAAACAGTGTCAAAACATAAAGTTGTAAAAACAAAAAAAAAAAAACCAAATCATAACAACAAAATAAGTGTTTTTTAAAGTTTCTGCTTTCTCAAACAACCTGTTTCTTTGTATTTTGAAAATCAAAGACCTGGAACCATTATCACAGGACTTAGGGAAGGAACATAATCATCATGGGGTTTTCAAGGTTTTGTTAGATTTACATTTTGTGTCTAGGACTTCTTAGCAACAGCCTGCCACAGTTGTCTGGACATCATTTGCATACCTGGAGACTTCCTAATACAGATAATATACACACTCAGATTTGAACATAAATTCTAACCATATGCACAATTTTGAATGAGCCCACATGAGGTTATATTATTAAGAACTAATAGCATAAAAACTGCTGCAATTACACTTCCAAAAAGTAAAGGACTGCATTGGGCAACTTCGCACATTAGGGCACATTCTTATTTTCTTCTTGTGTCAGATTCATGTATTTGAATAAAGAGGGAAAGGTCAATAATGACAGATAATATCTCATTCTACCAGTCTTCAAATTATTGTACTACAATCAAAGGACACAAAGGACATCATTTATGAGCAATTTGTCTTGATGTCTCCTTTCTAGTAATCTCAGATCTGTAGGACAAAATGGCAATGCTAATCACATAAGGATATGCTAAAGTGTATATGAGTTGATCCTGGTAGAGTTTCTCTAAGTAGCTAAAGCATAGTACATGGTCAATTGATATTGACTATTATCCTAGTTATATTTCCTTTGCCATGATAAACACCATTATCAAAAGCAATGTGGGTAGGAAAGTATTTCAGCTTACTACTCATGTTCCACCACTGAAGAGCATCAAGGTAGAAACTAAAGATAATAACCTGGTGGCAGGAATTGTTGTAGAGACCATGAAGGTTTGCTGCCTATTGAATTGTTCTCTTAGCTTGGTCATCCCTCTTTTTTGTACAAAAACGCAGGGGAGGTAGCACCCACAGTGGGTAAGGCCCTCCACGATCAGTAAATGAATCAAGAAACTGCCCCAACAAGACTTGCTGAAAGGCAATGTAAGAAGGCATTTTTCTCAGTTTGAAGTTCCATTTACCATGATTACCCTGGGCCATGACAAGTTTACTAAAGAAATCCACAAATAATTCAAAATCTGATGAGTACAACTGCCGTTATTAATATTAACCTAATTCTGAAATCATTTCTTTGGGTTATTGGAGCTGGTTTTTTTTTTTTTTTTTTTTAGTTCAAAGACAATTCCAGTGGACATGGGTTTAAATTTCTATTTGCTTTTGTCCTTATTTCTGCCACCATTTCTTAGTATGATATAATAACTCCTGTGAGACAAGAAAGTCCTCTGTAATAAGAAACTGAATACCACACATGTGATTTCCCCAGGATAAATGGTCAGAAGTTCACTTTGGGAAAGAGATTATGTCAGGATTGTGTGCAAGTCATTGGATGCTAATCAACCTTAAATGCTTTATAGATCCTAGTACAGCTCCTGTGATCCATCGTGTGGATGTTATGAACAGTACATTAGTTAAAGTTACCTGGTCATCAATTCCTAAGGAAACAGTCCACGGACTTCTAAGAGGGTACCAGGTTGGTACTAGGATGATTTTTTTAAATATTTTTTTTGTTTTGTTTTTACTTCCTAATGGATAACTGCTGAATTTGTTTCTTGCCTGAGATTTTAAACTGAATTCAAGAGATCAACTGAGCATCCGGTCTTATAGTGGTTGTGTTAAAGGGTTTGCTTTTTCATTACAGATAAATTGGTGGAAAACAAAAAGCCTGTTGGATGGAAGGACACATCCCAAAGAAGTGAACATTCTAAGGTTTTCAGGCCAGCGAAACTCTGGAATGGTTCCTTCCCTAGATCCCTTTAGTGAATTTCACTTAACAGTCTTAGCCTATAATTCCAAAGGAGCTGGTCCAGAGAGCGAGCCTTATATATTTCAGACACCAGAAGGAGGTGAGAGAATAAATGTGGAAGCTGCCATTTATGCAAATTACTTAATGACTATGTTAAACAGTTCCTTAATTTTTAAAAGTTAATGTGCAGCTCATAGGAATTCACATCTGAGTTTCTATTAATGTGGAATCTCATGGGGGAGATTTGGGGTTTTTCTTAGGATTTATTAGTTTATAAGCATCTATATATGGTCTTGTGTTTTCTAGTACCTGAACAACCAAGTTTTCTCAAAGTTATCAAAGTTGATAAAGACACTGCCACCTTATCCTGGGGCCTTCCTAAGAAGCTAAATGGAAATTTAACTGGTTATCTCTTGCAATACCAGATAAGTAAGTACAGGTTTGAAATGGAATTAATCTACCAACTGTTCAATTTTTTTAATTGAGGAATTAGTTTGTTTCATAATGAACACTATCCCCTACAGCACAAGGTCGAGTAAAGTGCATCAGAGATAAACTGAAGCCTCTGGGTGTTTCAATAATAAATTCCTATTTTATTGGAACATGGTTATGTACACCCATCTACTTATTATTACGTGTATCTGTTTTCTAACAAGAATGGCAAATGTGAGTTAAGCAAACAGGGACTACAGGTTGCTCATGATATTAAGTGCTTATGGTTTATAATTTAAAAAAGGTATTTGGACTCATTTCGTAAATTAGGGAAATCGCATTTACCATCCATGTGAAAGTAGCTTTAAGAATTATGGATCATACTAGAGGTCAAAGTTAGGAAATAATGTAACAGAGTTCAAAGTACATGTAGCTACATAATAAGACTGACTTTTCTGTGTGGATGAATGATTCCAATCTCAAGCAGAAGTATATTTATCTGTGAAGAACCTTTATTGTTAGCTTGCTAGTAAGGCAGATCATGGTGAGAGACTCAGATAACTCTCCCATGCAAGCTTCTGTATCTTTAGATAGAAAATGGTTGAACAAATGTAGAGCATTTCTAGTCCTCACATCTTTGACCTGTTAACAGTCTATTAATATAAACATCATTTCAAAATGTAAATTATAGCTTCAGTCACAGTTCAACTATAAGATTTATTGTCATGAATTGGTAAGTAGCTCACACACTGGGACTACAGCCATTCAATCAGTCTATCCTACTCACAAAAGCCAAACTCATCATGACCCTGGTCTATTACTCTGATGCCTCTTGGGCAGTCATGTCTAGGTCACATGTTAGCGTTAGGTTCCACTAATCCCTGATGAGCACGGCATACCTGTTTAAGTAAATACAAATGAAATTTAAGAGAAGTACTGTTTTAATGGTTTTCACTGAGTGTTTGCTTTGTAGTAAGTGCTGCCTGAAGGTTGTTACATTTGACCTTGGAAGTACATACTATAGTGTATATCAGTGCTATATTATGGATGAAGGAAGATACACATAGACTACTCTAATTTAGTCATGCAACATTAAGTTCTGGGTTAGGATGCAAATTCTATTCTGAGTCCGTAAGCCACAACTCTTTCAAAAATCAATTTTTATAACTGTGGACAGAACTGAAATAATTTAAGAGTTTTAATTTTTCATTTGGTTTAGTGAAGCTATATCTTATCTTTGAAACTCTGTTAATTCAAACATTTGTTTGATCTGTCTGTAAGGTTTAAATTTGATTTAAAATTAATTCTCATAACAGAGAAGTAGTTGAAATATTAATACTTAACAATAATTACTGTACTTCTTAAAAATCACTAAAATTAAATTATTTATTTCTCTATTAATATTAAATGTTGGATGTATCTTATGGAGTATGCCGTTTTGCTCTTCCCCACTCTAATTAATTGCTGTTTGTATATATCAGAGTGGTATATACTGTCTCTAGATCCTGTATTGATTTTACTAATTATGTCAATGACTCTGTAGTGTTTAATGGTGATAAAGTGACCAAAATATTACTGTCTTCACAATGTTTAGATTACTACTTGGTTTCTTGATGTAATTGCCTTGTACCGAATAAGGAAGGTATTTTGTGCAAATAGTAAATGTCCCTTTTATGAGAGAAAGAGGGGTTTTTTCCTACTTGTTTTCTTGCCATTAGCATCTTCAGACTTTAAATGTGTCCCTATATTACTTAGCCTTTTCTTTCTTTTTTGCATTTAACATAGTGTTCAGAGCACAGTAGATACTTAAAAACTTGTAATTCATTCATCAGTTCAGTGGTTCATTGATTCTTTATATGCTGAGCTCAGAGATGTCCTGATTTTCATTAAGTTAACTGCAAGCCTTGGTTTTATAAAGGCAAATATGTTGCACCTTCAGTAAATTTCCCCACTTTAAAATTTTTAATGTGTTCTGATTTTTCTGATATGTTTATAATAAAATTTAGTTCATCTTATGCATTACCCTGTCTCATCCTCCTTCTTCTATGGAATCCCCTTCTTCCCAGTAAATCTCCTTCCTATTTCCATGTCTTTTTTCATGTGTGTGGTCTACTGTGTTCAGTTAAGATTGCTTGCATGAGCATGAGTAGGAGAGTATTTACAGAGAATGGACAACTTATCTGTGATTTTTTGGGAGGCCACTGAAATAAGTGACAGCCCTTCCCCTAGTCACTTCTGACTGTCAATATCCAATGATGCTGGGATCGCACAATATTTTTTATATTGATACTCTCCTTGGCTACCCATCTCTGTTTCTGTACTCTCTGATGGAGCTTTGCAGTAACAGTACATCACAGCATCTAGTCAGTCAAACAATAATGAAAAGTCAGTGACTAGAATTCCATAGTGAATTGCATTGCTAAATTATATCCAGGAGACTGGAAATACTAAATGTGCTTTTTATTTGTGTTGCCTCCAATGCACTAGGATGCGGAATAATTTTGTCACCAATCCATCTATGCTTACCTGAAACCACATTTTAAATGAGAAACCCTAGAAAACGTAAAACAAGCATTGTGCTTCATTATTAATTATCGCAAATAAGAATAAAAATGGAGAGAATTTATAACAAGGGTCCAGTGAACATTCAGTAATGGAAAAATGTCTAACATACATAACAAATTGTTAAGGTCATCTCCATTTTCAGCTGGTGACTCAGAGTGAAATGGCTATAATTTAGATTTAAATCCCTAGCTTACACAGCCACTGAGTCTCATTCTGGAATGGGTTTTTAACATTGGTGTTCTCTTATATAGTCAATGGCTATAGTTTAGATTTAAATCCCTAGCTTACCAGCCACTGAGTCTCATTCTGGAATGGGTTTTACGATTGGTGTTCTCTTAGATGATATAGTGATAATAAATCTGTGTACAGAGATAGAGTTGACAGTGATGAATAACGATAGCAACTTTTTCAATAAATAGAAACAAAAATACAAAACACTAACTTCGATTGTGAAGAACTTTGAATCACTAATTTCATGCTTATTTCTTCAGTAAACGACACCTACGAGCTTGGAGAATTAAATGAAATCAACGTTACTACTCCATCTAAATCCAGCTGGCATCTCTCCAACCTCAACGCAACAACGAAATACAAATTCTACTTGAGAGCATGCACCTCAAAAGGCTGTGGGAAGCCAATAAGTGAGGAAGGTGCCACACTAGGAGAGGGGAGTAAGTACATGAACCTTCTGCATGCTGTGCATTCACACAGTCACACTAAAGTACAGGAACCACGTCTCTGTAAATTAGAAATGATGGACTCAGATCTATCTGACACTCTTTGTTCCACCAAAACAGAAACAAAATTTACTGATCTTGTTTGTAATGATCACATTAGTGTGTTTCTGATTAACTAAACCATAGCTCAGTGTATAAAAAAGGTCAGGGACATCTACGTAGGTAAAATAAGTGGACATGGCTTGTAAATTTTCTCACAGAGTTAGAGAGATAGTTTTCTTTGGAGAATATTTTGATCTAAAATCTTTTTATCTTTTACTTTGGCATATATTTTACAGTAAGGGAGCCAATATATACCATTTTCACAACTTGACCTAACTTATAGTACATGAATTCATTTGTCAAGTTTAATTTTACTGTGTGGTGATTCGAGCTAAGTAGTAATTGAAAATGACTTACCAGTCTGTGATCTCATATGTAGCATAGCTATAATCAAATTATATGTTTCTATCTTTTCCCTATATTGTAACAATATACCTTGCAAAATTATTTCTCCAGTGACAATTTTAGGACTTTTTCTTGCTGATCTATAATATTCACAGTGCATCAAAATTGAAATAGGAGATTAGGTAGTAAAGCAAAATGTGTTCAATAACTGATGTTTGCATAAAGTTAAAAAAGTGAGACTACTGTGAGATTTGAGTTGTCAGACGTAGGAGGATTTGAGAGAAGAGAAAGGAGTAAATGGAAGAGAGTAATAAGGAAAACGATATCATACACTCACAAATAGTATATGGCAAATATAATTCTGTTCTGAGTTGTTTTCAGAACTGTAGATAGGGAATATAGGGAATTAGATCTATGGGAGAATACCAGGGATAGGAGAGAACTACGGAAGAAAATAAAATTGTGCATCATTTATTAATGAAACATTGTGAGCCACTCAAATGTGTGAATCACCACCATCCATTGTATTCCTGACAGGAATTGTTAAACTCTGAACTTTTTATCAGTTTCTCCTTTTTATTGTTCCCATCCTATTTATAAAACTTTGGGTCTGTGTTTTTTCCTCTAACCTTAAAGTCGCTTATATAGGAAGAGTATTCAAATAGCATTTCTCCCAAACCCATGAGTTGAGCATAAAATAAACAACAAATGAAATGAAGTGCTCACTAATCTAGCAAAAATATTAAACTGCAAGAGGGTAACAATGTTCTAGTTACTAAGGAAAATTTTTTTCTCAAGGGTTCAAACTAGCATCAAATATTCATTTCACAGTAGGGCCAAGAGTAGTGGTCTAAATATTCAAATTCCATCTTCTTCATAAAAGATGTCAAGGCCTATAGATGGCTGCGCTTTTTGAGAGAAGCGACAATTTATCAGGAGAGATATTAGCCCCATTCTTGACAAATTGAAGCATGAAAAAATGTGTCCAGCGAAATGTCTTAGCTATTCTCTACATTCTACTATTTACTTTGGTAAAACAAGGCTTGATTGCATTCACGCTTGACAAAATTGTTTGGAGAGTGTAATTCTTGATGAGTGGTTTCATAACTGATGCTACTTTATTGCATACTGAAGTTAGAAATAACATGCTTCAGTGTATAAAGACATGTTTCTTCACTATCCTATTTTTGGCTGTTAAAAAAAAATATGCCATACTAAGGTGTTTGTGTTCTTTTCCAGGGATCTGCATTTTCAGTATTCCAGCTATTGCCCTTTCCCCCTGTTGATGCTGATTTCTCTTCTGTAGACATATTGCCATGTTGTAAATTATAATTGCTTTCCCACTAAACATCAACATAATCTTTGAATATTATATAGTTCTACAGAGGAGATATATTTCAGCTGCACTAAGAATGCTAATAATCATAACTTAAAATTAAAATCTATTGAATCTACTACTTGTAACTATTTCTTCTCCTACATTTGATTAGGGGAGCACATTGTAAGACTGTGGTGTTGAAAGTGTGTGCTTTAATACTTGGACTTTTGTTTTCTGGTAATCACTCCAGTTTGAAGGTGATTCCCTAACTAAAGAGGGAAGGATGGAGTTAGAATATGCTTTGGCATCATTTCTGGTTTGAAGATATCACTTGTGTTTGTGTTTTGTAAAAGCTTGCACTAAGTGACATGCTAATATTTCTGGGTTTTAAAGTAAGCATTAACTCCATTCTGTTATAGTAATTCATTCTAAAAGCTTTGCTTCTATGTATAACTGGCTTTGTTTCTTCTGTGACATCCTTTTAAATGAAATCCATTGTTGTTCAGTAGTCATGTACCTTGGTTTTATTTTTTGATAAAAAGTTATGACCAAGTATTGTTCTGTCCTATGCCCACTTAACACAGAATTTCATCATCTATCATCCATTATATTATTATTAGGGGTCTTATTTCATTTCATGTGTAAATTGTTAATATTTACCAATTTACATTTTATGTTGAGTTGAGTGAAATTATGCATTTAATGCCCATATTTACACATGTAATTACAGGAACAGAAATTAATGTATATTCATTAAACTGGGCTCATTTTTATCTGTTACTCTGGGGTTCAGTGATTAAGTTCTTGACATATAATTGATAATTCCTCTGAAAAAAGTATTCATTTTATACACGTTTCAAATCTCAATGAAGCCATTCCATTTAAATGTACCTATAAACCTGCACTTAAATCTAGCTGAAGAGTCTAATTTAAAGTAATTTTTATATAGATACATTGTGATGCCATCTTACCAGAACAAAAGCAGACCAAGGCAACAATGTGTTTATGCATTTAATGAAAAATAGTTAAAATCAAGATGTTGTTTGTAGTCATAAGCCAAAGAGGCTGCATCCAACTTTTCACTAGCAGTGAAAAATTCAAACAATGCAAAATGTTATTGAAAGCTTTTTTTTGTTTTTGTTTTTGTTTTGTTTTTGCTTCTTGTTTTTTGAGTCTGTGTTTGGTATTGAGCCATTCACATGACTTGGCAGATTTATAGTACCATTTTATCAGTAAATGTCCATGAGCTGACGTCATTGCATTCATTCATTTTCAACATTTTAAGAGAAAAATCTTGAAATGTTATTTTCTGGATCCATCGATAATTCAAGAGCTATTTAAAATTTAAAAAAATGCCAAAATGAATTTTTTTCTTCATCTCAAAAAAATGACATATATATACTTTTTTACATTTCTCTCCTGCTTTTCAGTGATTGAGATTCACATGATTTAACTGTGTACCTTTCTTAGGTAAAGGTATCAGGAAGATAACAGAAGGAGTAAATCTTACCCAAAAGATTCACCCTGTAGAGGTACTTGTGCCGGGAGCGGAACATATTGTTCACCTAATGACTAAGAATTGGGGTGATAACGATAGCATTTTTCAAGATGTAATTGAGACAAGAGGGAGAGGTGAGAAATGAAATTGTATGGACAGTAATCTTAGGCAATTCACCGTGTCCTATGTTTTAATTTTACATATATATGATATTATATTAAAAGTTAACGGGCATAATTTCAGTTTTTTGTTGGTATACATAGCCTTCCAAGAGTTAAATTATGTCACAAAGACCCCATGCTTTCCCTTACTGGGTATGCCTGGGTAATCATCTAAAAAAATTTCCTGCTAATTAACACCTGTTAATAACAGAAACTAAAAGAGGAACTGAAGCAAACCAAAGCTCACAGAGGCGCCATGATGATCTGCTTGCAACCCAGGCAGCTTGTGCTGTGGCTTGCTTGCTGCTGCTTCTGCATTTAACTTGACTATTCTTTCTGATTCTCATCTTCTAATCTAAATGCAACTGGAAAAAGGCTCTTTCTTAGTGTGTCCCAACAAAATGCCCTTTATTTTACTTTATTTACTTTATTTCCCATGGGTTCAAAGAAAAAATTTTTTATCAATGAAAAATGATAGCTTATTGTGCCCCAGTATAAATGTAATATTATGGACTGATTCTAGAGGTCAACGTTGTGCCTTCTCTTTGTACAACAGAGTACGCTGGCTTATATGATGACATTTCTACTCAAGGATGGTTTATTGGACTGATGTGTGCAATTGCTCTTCTTACACTGATACTTTTAACTATTTGCTTTGTGAAGAGGAACAGAGGTGGAAAGTATTCAGGTAATACAATGGCTTAATGTGACTTTCAACGTTGAGTCTCATATGCTGGGAATCATTCTTTGGAAGCTTTCATAAAAGTTACACAGATAAAACTTTATAGTACATTATATATGAAATATGTTGTGGGAGATAGTTAATAAAACGTTGGCACTCATTCTGGCCTGTACTTACAGAGCAACTATGTTCCTGACTAGCCTAGGTCTGAGGTCTCGATGTTTCAAATAAATTTGTGATCTTTGTTTCCACCTCCCCAGAGTTGGGATTATAGCTGGTTGTCATCTAGCTTGGCTTTTTCATATGAGTGATTTGATATAGCATTGTTCTTTATACTTGTTTGACAGACACTTTATCCAAGTGAGCCATCCCCATAATTGCTCAAATAATTATTTATAAAGCTGTGGTGTCATTGATTATTTTGATCATTGAAGTAGTTTTGAGTAAAATATTGATGCAGAACACCTAATGATTCATTTTGGGGGTGTAGGCAAACTGGTTTTCATGTCAATGGTCAGTTAGGAGCTTCATGTAGTTGGAGAAAAAATGAATATTGAGTAGTTTATGTTCATTGACGGAATAATGTAATTGGGATGCTTTCAGTAAGGTAAGTACCCATTTGATATGGCAAAATGGCATGAAAAAAATTGCCACAACCACCTAAAAAGTAGAACTCTGAAAATATCTTATCTTTTCTGATTAAATGAAAAGTAACTTATATGTTAAGCATATGGCTCAGAAAACTAGTATTGCAAGTATAAAATTTTTGCACAGAATGTTTTGACTATCCACCTTTCAGCAGCCATGCTGTCATGTCTTTACAATGTCTTTGGATGATGTTAAGACTACATTAAACTTTTTGTTTCAGTAAAAGAAAAGGAAGATTTACACCCAGATCCAGAAGTTCAGTCAGCAAAAGATGAAACTTTTGGTGAATACAGGTAAGAGTAGCTTTATATATGGTGATCAGTTTGGAACATTTTCATCATGTTTGTCAAGTGGAGAAAATGCTTTGTTCATACTTGAAGTAGAGGAACTACACCACAGTAACTTTCTAAAGGATATTTTATCAGAACATCTCCCCATTCTAACCCCACTCCTATTTCATCTCTCTCTCCTTCCTTTCCTGCTCCTCTCCCTTCCTTCCTCCCTTTGTTTCTTCTTCTATGTTTTGTTCCTTCCTTACTTCTTTTCTTCTTTTTTTCTTTTCATTCTACTGTAATCTATTTTTTGTAAGAACTGAAATATTATGTACAGGGCAGAGGTATGGACCACAGTCTGGATAGCTGTGAGCATCAAAATTCCTTAGTTGAAGCTCAGTGTAAAACACATGTCACATGTGATGCTCCCATGAACTATGTAGCAGAAACACTTTAGATCCACTCTTAGTGTTGCTGTTATGAACCTGATTACATTAAGTTTGCATCACAGATACAGATTATAATTCTGCCATTCACATTTATAAAAGTAAAGAGGTTCCAAACCTGTAAATGAGTTTTTAAAAGTAAATATTTATCTCTACACTCAGTTAGCTCATAGATAAGATACTGAGACTACCAGATTTATTTAACTAGCTTTAGTACAATTACTGGGCAAATTACCCCAGGCTATATTTTTATATGATACAATGGCTACAATTCTCAGCTGTTTTCCCCCAAATACTTGCTGTTTCAGTCTCTCTGGGGTTGTTTCTGTCCCATCAGTCTATCCTCAGGTGGCATTTCACTTGGCTATGTGCTCATGGTCCATCTGTCTAATTGAGACCTCCTGTTTTCTCCAACTTCTCTCTCCTTCTCCCTCCTTCATCCTCTCATACTTCCTCTCATGTTTCCTATTTACAACCCCTAGCCCAGTAATTGGAGCCCCACCTACTTCTATTCTCCTCAGTAATTAGCTGTAGCCACTTTTATTTAACCAATACCTGTAAATTGAGGAGCAAAGCTTACACAACAGAGCCTGGTATATGTAAGATTCCACCCATCTGGGGCAACCTCATCCTGTGGTTCTGAATTTTGCATGTGTATACACAGCACCAGACCAACCCCCAACACAGACCCAGTTCTATACATGAGCCTAGACTTCAAACAAACAGAAAAACCTCAGTCATGTTCAAATAAGATTTGATTAAGCAATTAGAATTCAAGACCTAAAAAATAAATGACTATTTCTGCATGATGAGGATTCAGGGACAAGAACCATCTAAGAGATAAGTTAGTACTTAGAAAATAAAGTAACTAACTACTTGGGAGAACATGACTCAGTGTGTGAGTGTAAAAAAAAGGCTATCAACAGGGCAACATGACAAGAAGTAATTTCAGACAGGAATATAAATTTTAGGCTAGAACAAGGAAATAGGCTTCAGACATGAAAATATCCTTGGGCTAGGACAGGGAAGTAGGCTCAGACACTTTCTTCATCCTGATAAGCCTTTAGAGACAGTGATCACTGAGGTTTTCACATAATTGGGTTTAATGCCTTGCTTTTTCTTTGACTATTTGTGTTCATTGTATTGCTTGTTCCTTGACTATTTGCATCTATTGTATTGCTAGACCTTCAACCTAGAACTGACCTTAATACATGCATGTAATCAAAATGGTTTAAAAGCATAAAGGAAGAGGGGTTATAGGATAGGGGGGTCTAGGGAGGGGAAATGGGGAAAGGGGATGACATCTGTATTGTAAATAAATAAAATATCCAATAAAAAAGAACTTATATCTCACTGCTCTAGCATATTCTATTGATTATGCTGTGCTGAATCAGCATACATTTAAGGGGTGAGCATTATACAATGGCTAAAATTCTATTTGGAAGGGATTATTGAGGTCTTATAAGGAGAAAGAAAACAAAACTAAATCTAGTTCTTGTCCATAGACTTGTCTACACTTTGCAGTTCCTTTGAAAGGATAGATCACATTTCCCTACATTGTTTAGTTACAGCCTTATATTATTTCTGAAATTTTATCCTAAAACTTTACATTCATCGGCAAACTTTTGCTGTTTCCATGTTTCAAGAGTTTTCTTTTTTTTTTATTTATTTTTTTAAGAGTTTTCTTATATACTTTGCCCTTGGATATATGCCTTTGTTACTCATTGTCTGTCCCCTAAACCAATACCATCTCTTTTTATAAATTTTGCTTTATTTTTAGAACTTCACTGTGAGAATTTTCCCTCTCCCAATGGAGTGTCAGTCAAAGACAGATAGTTCTTGCCATCTAGTCACTTGGGAACTGGTACTGAAGACTTTTTAAGTCAGATATTATCAAAAATAATGACTTCAGATTTTCTTCTTGTAATGAGGGAAAAACACAGCAGATACTACATAAATAGTATTCATAATTACATTTTCTTTTAGAAATTTTTATTATACAGTTCTATACGTATAGATACTGCTTTGTTCATACCTTTCCATTTTCTATGCTATCTTACCTTCTCCTTTGAGCTCAAGCCTTTTATCTTCTCAACAAATGCTCTTTCTACTTTGATGTGTGGAGGTGGGGGGAGAGAGGGAGAAACCTATTGTATTTAATCAGGGTGTTTTATATGATCAAAAGAAGAAATTTAAAAAATCAAAACAATGGGACCAAGAACAATAACAATGTATAAAGCAAGGAACGTAACATTTGTCTTCTGTCTTCAACCATTGGGTAGCAGTTGCTGTAAGTGTCTTATAAACAGCAATAAAACATTGATTGCAATTCTGGTGACCAGACAGTGAGATCTAGGTAAGGGCATATTCATACTCCAAAGGAATGTTTTGTTTCAAAGGGAAAAGGAAGTGTAAAAAAATAGTAAAGTGTTCCTTAGTTACTCAGAATGAAGAAAATTGGTTATGGCTTTTTAAATACTTATTTATGGATGTGTCATCTTGGTTGTATGTCTCTGTCACTTGCGTTAGTATGAATAACCTGAAAAGTATAGAACCTGTTAGACCTAGTGTTGTCTTGTTTTGTTTTCTAGCGACAGTGATGAAAAGCCGCTCAAGGGAAGCCTTCGGTCCCTGAATAGGAACATGCAGCCCACAGAGAGTGCTGACAGTTTAGTGGAATACGGAGAGGGAGATCAGTCCATATTCAACGAAGATGGATCATTTATTGGCGCCTACACCGGAGCTAAGGAGAAGGGATCTGTTGAAAGCAACGGAAGTTCAACCGCCACCTTCCCGCTCCGGGCATAAGCACAGCACATTCATTCACGGATCTCCCTGGTCTCTTAAGGGGAGAAAGGCCTTTTATATAGAGGTGGAAACGCGTTTCCAGAGGTTGATATTCTGCAATTTTGCTGAGAAAAATAGCACTGCCTTCAGAAAGAAAAAGGAAAAAAAAAATCAGATGCCAAGTACTTCAGGCCTGTGTTTCATTTTGGGTTTTGATTTCAGGTGCTCAAAATGCAGAACACGAAACAAATCCTGTACTTAGATCCACTTTGACTAAATCCAAAGTTTCCATTTAAGATACTCCACATCTGCCTGGTTCTCCTGTTCAGTGTGTGTGCATTGATGTTGCTAACTGTGTGGGTTTCTCTCTGGACGAACAATTATACTTAGTTTTGAGGAACTGTTTTAGTGACTTCGATTCACTACAGGTTAAAAGATTGTAAGCAAGCAAGCTGGATATTTAAAATGTAAAAAAGGAACATGAATGTCTTATTAAACATCCCCTGGAATCTATACAGTCTAAAGTTATTATTTAAAATTTTAGTAGCTAAAGTCTTAGATAATCATACCACTCGTATTTATTGAGCTCCTAACTATTTGCCCAGAGACTGCCATCTTTACACAGGTTACAATATTATCAATTTCTGGATGATTGTCTTTAATTTCTGCCAGTCATGGGACTCATCCTTTCTTTCCTTCCTTCCTTCCTTCCTTCCTTCCTTCCTTCCTTCCTTCCTTCCTTCCTTCCTTCCATTCTCTCTCTCTCTCTCTCTCTCTCTCTCTCTCTCTCTCTCTCTCTCTCTCTCTCTCTTTCTTTCAGCTTGGACTAACTGGAGCTGCAAAAGGGAGTGGTGGTCAGAGGTTATTTTAAAAACAGGAAGGTGTAGATGTCTTGATTTTATATCTTTACTTGTAAGTTTAGGGCTTTCAGCCTTTATGTTTATATACTGGGACCCTTGAGTGTATTTCATGAATGCATTGTACATATTATGTTAATATTTACACAGTTTAAAACATACTGTTTTATTTTAAAGTGAGAAAAAGAACATTAATAGGCATGACTGTACAGCTAGAATATGTATAGTAAGATACCATTTTTATCCTTCTGGGGCTAAACACAATAACATGGGGCTTCAAGTACAAGACTATGTGAAAAATTGGATCCTGTTCTTATATTTCTCTCCCTCATGCAGTCTCAAAATAAAATATTATATAATCATAGAGGGAAATGCATTCATATTTTTCAAAATAAGTTTTGGAATGGATTCCTACCCTATCACTCCAAAAAGAAAATTATCTACAGTAGAAATTTGAATGTACCTGTTAGTTTATATCATATTGTAAATGTATTTGTAGTGATATGATTTTTTTAAATGTTTTTCTTCTATCAAAGTTAGTACAGATTCAGGGACTTTAGTTTCTGGCATGTGGGCTACCAGTCCATCTAAAATGGTACATAAGGTTCAGGGCACTTTAGAAATCTCTTGAAGGACTCTGCATACATATAAGTAAACATTAAATATTAGTATTTGCTTTCACATTTAATGGAAACTTTTTAGCCTCACCATGAAATTATTAACTGTGTTAAGTGCTACTGGTTCACAGACTTAACTTTAGTTTGTATAATTACTGGCCATAGTATTCACTCTTCATGTTTAATTGGTATGATGCATTATGTTGCTTGGGAATTAAAATTGTGGACATGTAAAAGAGTTAATGCAGTAATAAATATGAAACATACTTTTAACCACATTCATCCTCCAGAATGCATAGGCAGGAAAAGCTTGTTTTTGTTTGGGGGGTTTTGTTCTTGATTTTTTGTTGTTGTTGTTGTTGTTGTTGTTGTTGTTTTGGTTGATTTTGGTTTTGGTTTTGGTTTTTCTTTTTTTCTTTTTTTTTCTTTTTTCTTTTTTCTTTCCTTTTTTTTGGAAAACCCGTGGATCACAGTATCCAGTTGCTCTCCTGGAAGTACCAAATGAAAGCCTGTGGGAGTGTAAGGATCCAGAAGTCCAGTTGTGCAAACAGATCTCCAGCCCTTTCTGATGCCTGGGTCACAGATTTCTGAAAGATCCGTCATTATGTGCTATTTTTATGGGAGGACTTGTTGTGCTGAGACCCAGAGAAATAAAGGATGAGAATGACAGTAACTATGTTATTATTCTGTCTCCTCTTTGTCATCAAAATGTGGCTGGGAAAGGGTCATGTAAGTTAAAAATAATACCCAAAAATTCAGAATGGATTCATTATGAGTTTAATAATCTTTGAGTCAGAAGATGACACAAATACTTACATTTTTCTTTCAAATGGATCTTATCATTCTTTCCTTAGCCGTTGGAACATGAGATTGGCTTATAACACCTTTGCTAGCCTCTCTGAACTTTCTGTTGTAACTCTTCAGCAAAGCAGGCCAAGCTCCATGGACTTTTTTATTTTAATTATAGAATTATATTATTCAATACATTCAAATGAAAACGAATTCAACTGGTAAAGTAGATTTTATTCTTTTTCTGTCTCCATGAGTGGCAGACTCTATGACGTGCAATACTGATTACAAACGGGCAATAATTGTTTGGAAGATGTCCACTGAGTCATGAGGCAGCTGCTGGTGTGTACAATTTTGTTCTTAATTGATTTTGCAGTAAGATTCTGTAGTCTACTGACAATATGATTTTAATGTAAGTGATTGTATATAATCTCAAGGATTGTCAATGGGGCTAACTTCAGAGGGAGATGTTTGAGGGTCAGGAAAATCCGTGTTCTCTTCCAGGTTCTATACATATTATATATAGAAACCTTAGGCACGATGATGAAATACTTCACTTCAAACTGTGCTACAAAGTGCTAATGATCGCTATCACAGGGTGTTCTTTTGTATGAAGAAAAATTTACAAGTGATAAAATCTAAGATGCCTTTGAATCTCATCACCAAACGTGTAATCAAATTATGTATCAAAAAGCCACCCCCATATACACCAACTCAACTTTTTCCCCTCTAAGCACATAAATATATTTTTATAGAAAACAGATCTACAGAAAATAAATGAAATCTGCTGCTAAGAGAGGAGTACAATTTGCACATGCCATGGAAAATTATTAATCAGAAGAAAATTAAGCAGGGTCTTTGCTATACAAAAGTGTTTTCCACTAATTCTGCATGCATATTTATAAGATGTGAACTCAGTGAATTTATTCTCTTGGTATAAAGGCATCTGATATTTTAGATGTACCCATGTTTATAAAAAGAAAGTGTAGAGCACAATGGACTTATGCTATTTTATACTCATGGAAGAGATAGAGGACAATAGGAGAGATGTCGGCTGCTTTTCTAAGTATTTAAAACATATTTGCCAATTGAAATCCTAAATATGTTTACATGCCATGAAGGCGTAACTCTTGTAACAACTTTGAATTGGTTGTATTAGGACTGGTTTGTGGTCTGTGGTAGTAGATGTGCCCTAGTGTTACTATAGTGAGGTAAGTAGTGTTGAGCCAAAGCTTACGTTGTTTTGTATCTTAAACTGACTGCATCATAAAAAGACAAAAGGTATGGGGAGCAGGTTCACCCAATCAGCTTTTCCATTTTTCACTGAGATTAATGTTCACAGTAGATCTTTATTGAAATGTGTTTGTGTTGTAGACGGTGTTTGTATTATGCTTATGGATATGTATGGTTCAAAACTATTTTCATTACATATGGAATTCAGCTTTCAAATAAAAGTTTGACTTCGTGTACTGTAACAACGTTTGTGTCCCTTTCTATCCAGTTAAAAGCAGAATTTGCATTTCAAGCTTAATCTTGGTTCCCACTGATTCTGGAACTATAAATAAGGCATAAATTAGCTTGAAGCAGCATAAGTAAAATGTTTTTTCCATGTCACTGTGTTTACAGACAGACAACTTGAAGTCATCAAGGCCTAGAAAACACATCCATCAAGTTCACAGTCACAATGAATGCAAATGTAACATGTGTATGTTTTCTGTGGGCTTAATTTTCAGAAAATTATGTAGAAATATGTCTATTTAATAACATATACAGTATCCTATACTTTCAAAATGGTTAGAAGATGATTTTGACATGACCTTTTAAATATGAGATGCCTAATTTGCTGAGTATTTTGATATTTAAGATAATTTGCTAAATACCTTAGATACTTTACCGCATTTGACCTGAAAATGTCCTTTGCAAAATTGGAGAACAAGGAAGTTAAGTAAGTCAGTTAATGTTACAGTCTTCCAGGGCAAGAAATTAAACCAAGAGTCACTTGAGTGGTAAACCCATAGTTTTTATACGTGGGTCTGTGTTTTTATTTCCCCCTTTGTATTCTTTTAAAAACACTGAAGAAAGGTGGATTGAACTTAATGTGTGCCAACTGAACATGGTGACAGAAGACTTGGTTTCAAAATGTTCTATGAAGCCTTTGAAGAGAGATGCAAAAACAAACAACAGTATTCTACCGTGTCAAATAAGTGACTGTGGCATTCAGACAGGTCAGTTATTTCCAAGAATCAGGACAGCCAGGTTCCACAGACACTTCTGAGAACCCAAGACCAGAAGCTCCTCCCACTACTGACATTCACAGTAGCTAGCTTGAATATATTAAGTTGGCATTTGGATTGTCCTATTAGAAACAAAATCTACAAGTGAAGCTCCTTCCTTTGTTTCCTGTTCTCCTTTCCTGTCCTGTAGAACACCAACCAGAGATTCTAAAACCATATGCTACTGGATTCATGGTGTCTCATGTATGGAGAGCCCCAGGGCAAAGACAAATTGGATTTAAGCTAGATAAGTACTATTTCTTAAGGACACTTAGTTGCTATGTCCTTAAGATTGGCCCTACAATCATGTGTGAATCCTTCTTATAAGACATACAGAAGTTGAGAAAGCCTGAAGGAAACATTGGAAAACAAAGTAATGTATTGTACTGTAATTAAATATATAACATATTTACAGGAGGTTATCATATTAGTTAGCCTGTGTGTAACAGACTGTAAAATTTAAAGTTTGCCATGATATATGTGTATATATATATATATATATATATATATATATATATAT